TAGCACTTTTCCAGCAATATCACGGTGGGGGACACCAGAAATGGGCTTCACATATTGTACCCATATGGGGAATCGAAACCGGGTTTTCGGCTTGACGAGCGGACGAACTACCCCATCTGCTCTGTTACTATAATATGATGTCGTCCGTGTGGCGTTGTGAATGAATACGTAGATGATTGCATGTGATGTGTCCTTACATATCTATGAACGTGTATATTTATTTTGAAGTTTATGTTTCAGAGTGTTTGTTCTGACTTCCGTTCAAATAATCCTCATTACACTACGACATGTGTGTTATCTGTGCACTAGACCGGACACGAACAATATATTTTAAAAACTTAACAGACGCTACTTGCATACATATAATTTTAAGGGGAAATTAATTTATTCACTTCCAAGAGTTGCACCTGGGATGAATCATTATATACCCACATAACATTGACTAACTTGTCATGTATTGCACGTGCATTGGTTAAACCATTCGTTGCGTCTAGGCGGATGGTTTTGGAGCTCTTTCCATCACCATCAATTAATTTTGCACTTTTCACCGTATGTAAATGTCGTCCATTATCCAGTTTCATAAAAGCTACCCAATCAGTGTGACATAGGCAACATTTTCTTCAACTGTGAATCACATTGTCTATATACTCAGACCTATTGCCTCTTGTTGGCATATGTTCATGTGCCATGTTCATGTCAACTATGTCAGCGAGCCTGACCACCCGATCCCGTTAGTCGCCTCATACGACAAGCATGGTCGCCTTTTACTGCAAGCATGGGTTGCTGAAGACCTATTCTACCCCGGATCTTCACGGGTCGACACCCTACATACCTAGGTGACCCTTTAATAATGAGGCTGAGGATGTATTGTCATTTTGAGGCATAATCTAAACTTTGATGCCCTCTTTGTATACATTATTATGCATTTATTAAGTTTTCTTCAGTTTTTATCAAGACCGCCTCCAATGTCTAGTGGTACGAGGGCTGGCTAAAAAGTTCTAAGCCTAACTGTGAAAGACCCGTACCAAGCCGATGGTTTTCATTTTTTTCTCTACATAGTCCCCTTCCAGGTTTAAACACTTTTGCCAGCGATGCTGCAAGGCCTGGATGCCGGTCAAGAAGAAATTTTCTTCAGCCACCCTAAAACAGTCATTCACAGCGGAAATGACGTCATCATTACTAGGAAAATGGCGACCGGCTAGTTCCTTTTTCATTTTTGGAAACAGGTGAAAGTCTGACGGGGCCAAATCGGGTGAATAAGGGGGATGGTCAATGAGTTCGAAGCCACATTCATGGATCGCTAACATGGCAACCACCGATTTGTGAACAGGAGCATTGTCTTGTTGGAACAGGATTCCTTTAGTGAGCATTCCCCGTCGCTTAGCTTTGATAGCTTCACGCAACTGCCTCAGTAGGTCAGCATAATATCTTCCATTGATAGTCTGGCCTTTTTCAAGATAGTCAATCAGCAGAATACCCTTGGAATCCCAAGAGACTGAAACCATCACCTTTCCAGCAGAAGGAACCGACTTGGCTTTTGGGGGGGCTGGTGATTCCGGATGATTCCATTGTTTAGACTGAATTTTGGTTTCTGGTTGAAAGTGAGGTCTCATCCATGGTTACAAATCGGGCCAAAAAATCATCGGGATCTGCTTCAAAACGGCATAAATTGTCACGGGTCGTCAGGAATCTGACACGTTTCTGATCCGCTGTCAAGTGCTTTGGCACCCATCTTGCAGAGACTTTTGTCATTCCCAAAACGTTGGTGATAATGTGCTCAACCCTGTCATGAGAGATGCCCACAACATTGGCAATATGTCGAGTGGTCAATCGTCGATCAACCATCACCATGTCATGCACCCGGGTAATGTTTTCCGGAATGGTTGCTGTTGAAGGCCTTCCTGGACGCGGGTCATCGTCAAGGCTCTCTCTGCCACGCTTGAATTCCGCAATCCACTTCTTTACAGTGGGGGGCGGTCGGGTAGCCGAAGACCCGGGTTCGATTCCCGACATGGGTACAATGTGTGAAGACCATTTCTGGTGTCCCCCGTCGTGATATTGCTGGAATATTGCTAAAAGCGGCGTTAAACCAAACTCACTCACTCACTTTACAGTGGAAAAGGAAGGGGCATCATCCCCTAAAGTGGAGACCATGTCAGCATGTATCTGTGTTGCCCTTTCAGTTGCAGGTACTTGATGACTGCCATATAGCCAGTTTGGTCCATTTCTGGTGATTTCAATGGGTAGGTTCACAAGATGGTCTGGTACAAAGACAGTTATAACACTACAGTTGCAGTTCTTATGTCTATGATTCATTAAATGATTGTACTTGTTGGTGGCAAAAGTTTGTTTCAATCCGATTGAGATATCCCACTTAGGCTTAGAGCTTTTCAGCCAGCCCTCGTAGGGCGTCCGCCCGGAGAGGGGAAGGTCCAGGGTTCGATCCCCGTGTCATACCAAATGACGTTAAAATATGGTACTTATGGTTACCCTGTCTGGCGCTCGGCGTTAAGGGGCTCAAACAAGGACTGGTTGGCTCGGAGTCAGTATACTGTGTCTGAGTGTGGGTATTCATGTCAAACTGCGGCATGGTATATCAGTGGGCAAGCACTATAAAATTAGTCCGGACTAGTAGACAAGCAGACACACACACACACACACACACACACACGCACGCACGCACGCGCGCGCATGCAAATCGTTATATAAATGCAACAAGCATGAAATACTCATATCCTCCGCCAATATTACATCTCCAGTTGTGCGCAATGCATAAGCTCCTGTGAACTATGTTCACTGGACCTTTTTGTAAATGACCTAATTGCAGCACTAAAAAGTTATTACTTGTGTTGTTTTGCAATCTGCAGTTTATGATAGAATATGTAACTGTATTAGTAATGAGTTTTTTTATTACTTAAACAATAATCAGAGAAGTAAGGGAGTTCATACTTTACTTAGAGATCAATGAGAACAGGGTCACCATTAGGTGTACTGAGAAGTACAGCACCAATCATCTGATGATCTGAGTAGTAGACTGGAGTCTGGAATGCTACAGCACTGGCATGATCAGTAAACAACAAACATAATGGCTGGTTCGGGGGCACCTGTTCATATTACCGTATTAAAAAAAGCTGTATCCGCCCATGTGTCATACCAAAGGGCGTTAAAAGATCGTACTTGTTGTTACCCTGTCCGGCGCTCGGTATTAAAGGGCTAAAACAAGGACTAGTCGACTCGGAGTCAGTATACTGTGTCTGAGTGGGGTATTCATGTTAAACTGCGGCATGGTATCTCAGTGTGCTAACACTATAAATCGGCATCAGTCTGGACTGCTACAAGCACACACACACACACACACACACACACACACACACACACACACACAACAACAACAACAACAACACACACACACGTCGCTATATAAGTGCAATTATCTTTGACGCGACGTTAAACCCAATTTCACTTCACCTCACCGTTTTCGGTTGTCAGTTATATGCATACTACCGACAGAAAATTGTGTTTGTTGTTTAACGTAATATTTGGGATAACACTTTCCCGTCCGAAGTCAGCGATCTAACCCACTCAGCCACCGAGGCTTCCACAAAAATGAAAGTCCGACAACTTGTAGTCTAGATCTCGCACTTTGTGTACCCCTCCGACAAGTGTAAATTGGCACGGATCCAGTGACCGAAAGCTAGGAACACACAATGCCATTTAGAAAATGGTCAAATGTAACAAATGTTATATTTGGGATAACACTTTCTGAGTAAAGTACAGATTCTCGCACTTTTTGGGGTTATCGAACCTAATATCACCGGATGATATGCATCAGCGAGACTGACCACCTGAACCCGTTAGCCGCCTCATATATACGACATGCATGGATTGGTGAAGGCCAATTCCAACCCGAACCATGGAGTGTAAATAAGTTCACCAGCTTTTACTATTGTGTATAGTGGATAGAGCGTCTGCCTTGACTGCGGAAGGTCGGTAGTTCGATCCCCTGCCGCGTCATACCATTAGTGGTTAAAAGATTGTACTTGTTGTTACCCTGCCTGGCGTACAGCATTGAGGGGATACAGCTGGTACTGGTCGACGCCGCACTCAACAATATTCCAGATATATAAAAGAAGTCTGTTCATGTTCATGAAGTCACTAAAGCCTAACATCTAAACAATTTACACGACGCCCCGGCTATTCAAATATATGATAGATTGTTTTGTTTGTTTGTTGTTTAACACCGCACCTAGCAATATTCCAGCTAAATGACGGCGGTCTGTAATAATCGAGTCTGGACCAGACAACCCAGTGATTAATATCATGAGCATCGATACACGCAATTGGGATCGAAGATATATGCATCAACCAAGTCAGCGAGTCTGACCATCCGATTCCGTAGGTCGCGTCTTACGACAAGCATAGTCGCCTTTTACAGTTAGCATGGGTTACTGAAGACCTATTCTACCCCGGATCTTCACGTGTCAAATATATGGTCGATGAAATATCAATCAATTAAAAGTTTAAAATGACTTTATTTTCAAGAGAAAAGTTTATTTTGATTTTAAAAATAAGGTCGGTTGGGGGAAAATTGTTTTCTAATTCTTATCGTATTCGATTATCAACTCCACGAAATGAGCACGTAGCCTCGGGGGCGACTTAAATAGATAACGATTCAGTTCGCTAATCATATATTATGTCATGAACATGTGTCATCATTGTAGTCATTAGGATATCCGTGACCGCCCGTTAAAATGGGCAGGGGAGCTAAACCCCTTTCTGTAGAAATTCAAAGAAATATAAGATCCTGCTAACACAGGATTTTACTTCATAAATCAATATTTAGGGGTAGTTTTCTTTCGTATTCCTTAGCAATGATGATTTCATTATTTGTTTATTCTGCCCAGTAATCACACGTGGTCAGCGCTTGGGGGTACTCAAGGTATTAGTCACGCCTGTGTTATTCGAGTTGTAAACGCGGAAGCGCTTGCCACGAGCTCAAAACGAGGCTCGTGACCTCTCAGAATCTCGCACTCGTCCCGCCGCCATGTTGTTTCTATTCCGGTGTTGGTGAGGTGATATCTGAGATAATTAACAACGATACACGGCGAACTGGGTCATAGCATGCAAAGATGTTTCCCATACCACCACAGGGTAAGCTCTCAGATATGTTGTAACGTATGAAAAGTATTCAATAAATGAATATGGAGCAGAATTAATGTTTTTCGCGTCCTCGTTTTCCCACCACTGTCGGAAAACACAAACGATTAGGCTACTCCTCATATTTCTTTATGGTTCGCATATCGACTGCTACACATCTGTGCTAGTTGTGTATTATTCATGGACCATTACACTTATCAATAACGATATTAATGCAAATTTTAAATTCGTTTAAAGTCAGATAAACAGTCCTTTTTCCGAAACGTGCTCATACATGAACCTAGTGGCATGCATCATCACATTCGCAACAAAGGTGTGGGTGCCGATGCTGAACGCTGAACTTTGAAGTAAATATATAAAGCGAACCGTCTGCCACAAGTGAAACGACGAATATTGCTTTTGCAGTTGAACTAGCAACGAATACAAAATGCCAAACCAATCAACGACGGTGAAATCGTGGCCCTTTTTGCAGGCGTTTAGAGGGGGTGGACTAGGACTAAGGTGGTAGTCTTTAGAAGTCAGTACTGTGTTCTCCGTGTCCCAACACTGAACTCATGAATATTTAACATAGGTATGATGGGGATATATGTTTCTACTTCAGCTGAGGTTCTCACCTTTTTTCACAAAAAAGCTGGGCTGGAAATAACTGTAATTGTTCATGTCAAATGTTGAAGGTATGGCAATTTTCCACACGTTTCCGAATTTCTTTGTGGGAATGGTCTTCCACTAAGCAAGGTCATGGCAAGTACTTCCTCATGCAGAACCAAATAGTAATAACTAATGTTATGGCCTGGCAGAAGTGACTATCATTTCACTCACCAGCTAAATAACTTCTTTTTTTTAAAATTGCCTGCCATAGGCACTTTGTTTGGAATCCTGGTGAAATCCCTTCGGGGATCATCTTGTAGATTTGAATAAACTATTGTGGGAATATTCCAATGATTGGTGACTAATACTCACTTTAGCTAAATAACTTCTTTTTTTCAAGATTGCCTGCCATATGTACTTTGTTTGGAATCCTGGTGAAATCCCTTCAGGGATCATCTTGTAGATTTAAATAAACTATTGTGGGAATATTCCAATGATTGGTGACTAATCTCTTACCCAGTATCAATGCAATGAGAGAAAAATAGTAACTGTCAGAGATAATTACAACCAATTGCCCACACTGGTTGATTGTATCTAGACACATTTACATTTGAAATTTTCTTGTCATTCATGTTGCATTGATCATCTTGGGTAAAACAGAAAGACATCCATCTTTGGTGTACAATTATGATAAGGAAAATATTGTTAATAAGATGTTGAAAAGGGTGCAGCTCCTGTTGCTATCTCGGTAGCCTAAGGCTAGTCACATGCTGTTGGGTACTATCCAGATTTCTATCCAATTTCATCACACAATTGTGTGTTACATTCATCCTTCAACTTCGCACAATTTCCATCAATCACATTTCCATAGATGGCGTTTCATGTTACATTTCAAAGAAACAATATTTCATTCTTATTCTAAGACCATCATATAGCAACATGTTAATGCATTTTGGTATTTATCATGTTGATAGAGCCAGTGAAATGTAACAGGGTCTAGTTGTACAGGTCAAACTGATATCCAGCCGATACTAGTTCATTAAGTACCCAGCTGTCTTGCACTGCAGTCCTTACCTCATACTTGTTTTCCATATACTGTTTGTATTTTTGTATGAGATGGCTATGGGAAGCTTAAAACATTTTGCAATTCCAATTGCCAAGACTGATACCCCCTTTTTTATAACTTTGTAGGAACAGTTACATTTCACAACTATTTATCAAACTTAGGTTCAATTCTTTTTCAAGGAAATTAAGTTTTCCTTCACACGTTTGTCTTTTGTAGTCTCGTGGGCACTACATTTTTTTATGTTGAATGTTTATGTGCAGTCCTGTCAAAAGAAATTGACTTATGGAAAGGAAATGAGTGCAATTTCAGAAACAATGAGTGATTCAAAAGCCATCTGACATATTCAAATCTCGGTAGACTTTGCTCGCTATAATTAGGAACTGCATCAAATCAGAGGAGATCCTGTGATCAGAAAGATGCGGGTATGCAGACTCCTATACTCGACTTCCTTCATGGACATCTATCCAAAACATTCCTATTTCAACAACCCTGTGGTAGCATTTTCAACATATGAATGGCAGAGTAATGGCTAGAGGTTTGTTTAATCAACACAATTTTTTATTTTAAATGTGATTAAAGGAACATCATGCATCATGATGGTGCACATGTATGAAATAAGTAGTCCCATTTTTTTCGATGCAAATGCATATAGTTAAACATTTTTTGGCCTGCATGGTAAACTATTTTTAACAATTTCTCGCATTTTCATTCCATGTGATAATCATGCCGAAGACCCGGGTTCGATTCCCAACATGGGCACAATGTGTGAAGCCCATTTCTGGTGTCCCCCGCCGTGATATTGCTGGAATATTGCTAAAAGCGGCGTAAAACCATACTCACTCACTCACTCCATGTGATAAATGTCTTTGACAGCCTAAAGTGTATCTTGTGTAATGCATTACATTCTTTTAAACTGTTGATTAAGCTGAAACCTAATAATTTTGTTCTCTTTCTAACGTAAATTCTTGTATGTATTCTAACAAAACTCTCAACATAGTGCATGGGTTGAAATCAGGTTAGATATTCAGAAAATAAGTTATTTGCTGTTGCATTTAGCAATGCATGTCTTTAGAACAGACATTGTGTAATTTGTTTTCACAGCCACCCTTTTCAACATCTTCAAGGAACATTTTTCTATATCCTCACTGACACACTTATATATGACATCTTTCTATAAAATCAAATAAATATTTGCTTTGGCCTGGACATTATCACTGATTATCATGATGTATTAGTGTCCTATTTATACCAACGGCATGCTCCAACTAGTCCTGGCATATCTAACACTTTTTAATCCAGATTAAGATGATACCAGCACAATGTGCATGATTATTGTCTTAAGTATGGTGTCTTGTGTCAAAGTGACAGTAACATATCATCAGATGACATTGTGCTGCTGTCCTTATCAAAGAGCTGTGATGTGGTTGCTGACTATGAGTATGATACTTGTTACTGCAGGTATGCAACTTTAAATGCAATGTTTTCATGCCCAACATCTTGCCTTTGCTATATAAGTACAATAATCTTGGATGGGACATTAAACCCCATTTCACCTCTTGATAAAACCATGAAGATCTCAACCATAGAGTAAGGATTCTCATGTGAAAACAAACTAGGTGCTACAGTTGTGTAGCACACGAAAATGGCGTGTACACTGCACCTCTTTTTCAGACGCAAATGCAATACACAAATCTTTCTTTAGTTTATGCAATGAAATGTTTGCTTTACCGACTCAGAACTTATCTTATATTATTCTTATATATTATTGACTCTGTAATCTTTCTGTTGAAAACTCATGGGAACTGATTTCTACCCCTGCACTGTTTACTTTTCAGCTTCTTCTGTAGTAAAACCATGTCTGCTTGTCATGCTTTTTCATTGATGCTTGTCTCTAATAAAATCTGATGTATATATACCATGTATACTGTTGGTGACTACCAGTGTCCACTATGAAATAAAACATGATTGTTATCCATTTGTTTTAGGCTTGAGATTTAATTTTTTAAGCAAAAATATAATTTCATTTGAAATGAATGTTTTTAGTTTCATCAATGTCCAGGTACAGTCAAGTTGGTTTTTTATCTAAAGAACTTATGTATCAACCACGTACGCTCTATGCAGAACCTTTTCACATACTAGCCCAACATGTCCTTCAAAATTATTTTCACTAAATTTTTCACAACGTTAAACAGGTTTGTCCCATTTCCACAAAGTTATTTTACTGCAAGGATGGTCACAACTCTTATACTTAATGCCGGCAGTCATAGTGCTATGGCCACTTTGTGGAATTGGTGTTGAAGTCAAACAGAAATATTTGTGAGAACATCACATCATCATGTACGTTTGTCGTTTTGTCATCTTATTCTATTTACATATCACTTGTATCCATCTCACATCATTCTTCACATCCACGTTCACATTACTGTTCACACTTTGGTTGACTCTGACACTTTAGTTGACTGCGAAAGTTGAAATCAAAAGTTAACATGATTTTAGTTCATGTGGATGAAATTTGATTTGTACAATCAAATGATTGTGTTACACACGTAGGCATCACTTAGGTAAATTCTTTGGGACTGTGTGATGTTAGATGTAAAGTATAAGTTGTTGTGTAATGCTGATAGACCAGTGGATTAAACATGTTAAAGAGACATTTTGAGACAAATGTTGCATATAGTTGATTCAGTAATATTATGTTTTCATACATTTCACCATCATTGTATGCTTACTGCTGAAACTGCATCACCCCCAACCACTGCTCTTTCACTGATACCAGTAGGCTTTAGCCAGGAGAGTTGCAGACATATTAATGCTTCTTCAGCTTGCATTGGCATGTGTAAGTGTGCTTTAGGCTTCGGACATCTAACTGTAGTGTTAATTTTGAAGTAGTAATAAATCAATCACTAATGTCATGTGACTTCACTGCATGGCAGAACTCATGAAAGTTTTTAGAGTTACTTCCCTTGTTACCTTCTTGACCTATTTGACCACTTTTTCTGAACTCTGAAAACTATTCATGGAACTAATTATAGACTGAAATAACGAATGGAAGGCAATTAACCATTATACAGGCCCTGGGACTTTCATGAAGACAACATCCCCCTTCTCTATCAAATCGAACAAAGTTTGATTCTCTTTATTTTTATTTTTTTAAAGGTGTTTCTCCTTTTCTGAGTCCACAGCTCAACGGTAGGTATCTGTTTTGTTCATTGAAAAATTTGGGTCAATTACCTCAGTTAGTTTAGTGTGTGTATGTGAAGTTTGTAGCACATGTAATTGTGACATTTTTTTACAAAGAATCTGAAAGAATATAGATGGTTATATAGTATGAACTATTATGATATTATGAGTTCTGCCATTTTGTGGTGGTCCACCACTTAATTGGTTCCAAATGTGTTTAATGAAATGCATGATGTCAATATGTTTTATTCAATTCACTTTAGTTGCCATGTTTGGTTCATTCATTGTTGCTTTTAGTTGTTGCATTAACTGTTTGATTGAGACTTGCTTATCTGTGTTGTTTGTCAACTGGCATATTTTACTTGTACTAGCTTCCTACTTAGAAGACCTTTTGAGAGTGACTTTGCCAACAAGCTTGCCTGCACAATGTTACCATCAACATAATGGTATCACAGTATCACTAAGCTTGGTCCTATTATTCAGTTGGAGGATTTGTTTATTTTGCAGTCAAACAGATAACCATGGGCCTGTGTCATTGACCCCCCCAGAAAAATACAGATGGCAGCAGTAGAAGTCCACTAGTCCTTATTGTGATAACATATAGCAAAACCGTTATACTTGGCAAAATTTTACTGGTCCTTATGATACCTGAACTACTGGGCAGTTCTGCAAGGACTATAGTACGAGTGCCAATTTCTATTGCTGAGATGGTCCTCCATTTCTCAACCGTTGGTCTACTGCCCATGTTTCCGAACACTGGCTCATAATTTTTCTAGTTAATCAGTCAATTTACCTGTAGATGTCTACATCAGTCTCAAGTCCTTCTGGGGGCACGGGTGGCCCAGTTGTCTAAGGTGCCGCGATTCGCTGTGCAGAGTTGCGTCTCTTGGGAACGCCAGAAACCTGTGATTGTGGGTTCGAATCCCGATTCGCCCCAATTATGTTTTCAGGTTTGTCGGCACCATACCCGTACTCGTGGGTTTCACTGAAGTGGTAAATGTCTGAGATCGTATCACTTCGGGCTTTCCTCCCACATTAAGCTGACACGCCGTGATATAACTGGAATAATGTTAACGTGTTGTTAAACCCAACTCGCTCAACTCCTTCTTTGAAGATTATATTTTGAGATTCATTTCAGCATGTTCAGCTTCAGGTGCTCAACATCACTTTTGTGATTGTCTGTGTAACTGTTCTGGGCCCTGTTCCGCACAGCGAATGTAGCGCTACTACTGTCATAGGTCTATGTTAAAGTAAGTTAGATCATCTTAGCACTACGATTGCTTTGTGATCAAGGCCCGAGTGTTTTACATTTCCTCAGTTCATTAGCAGTTGAAAGCAGACGTGAGAAGATGGAGGGCGAAGGAAACTTTTTTAACTGGCAAAATGGACCCTGCAAAGTGGACGAAAGTTAGGCAACATTGACCTGTTGAAAAAGATATTGTTATGCAGAACAGTGATTTGAAAATAAAATTCTGTTGACTTGCATTTGAAATTCTTTTAAATCTGTTTTTGCACACTGTTTTGTTTTGCATGTTTGCATGCAGTTGAGTGTTCATATACATGTAGTTCATGTGTAGTCCAGCCTCCATTGTTAAGAATATTTAAACATTTGGTATCACATAATGCCATCCTGTGGATCATTACATAATTTCATATCATTAAATTCATACTTTAAACTTAAATTTGCAGCTACAGTTTGTTCGAATGACATGAATGGAATCCATGAGATGATTATCATTATGGATTTTGTTTTTCATATATTTAATATCATAATCATGGAAAATGCTTGTCTATAAAAAACAAAAAACATTTCCACCCATCTTCAACTGAAGCTTGGTCATGTTGGTGAATTTTGTTTACTAACTGCACCATTTTGCCACACACAAAAAAGACAATTGAGCAAAACTGATTCATTTTACAAGTCTTGCACATGTGTGTTCGAAGCACCCAGTAACATTAACCCAAATTGATTTTTTGCGTTTTGATTTTCCAAATTTGAAATACAAGTAGGTGTGAACTTTGCTACTTTCAGTTCAATCGTCTCTCTCATCTACGCCAATACCCCACCCAGATCATCCAGACCCATTGGATGTTAAAGGAAATTGGAATCCAACACATCTAGGTACAAACAATATTATGCACTCTGCACAGCCAACATGTGTGCTGGTTTAGTTTGCTCTGTTTTCAAAATCCCAATAAGGGGTGTAACACAAATGTTCTGTTTTCTGTTATTGTTTTGGAACATTTTGTCATTTGTTAAAACAATAATTTATATTGAATACATTAGTGCAAGAAGATAAATGTCATATATTTGTATAGTCTATGCCAAATGATTAGGTCTAACATGTTTACTAGCCTGAGCTTATGTTTTGACGTAAACTTCAACCAAGCTTAATCCTAACTATCTGGATTATTTTTCCAAATTTAACAACTCAAAAGAAATTTTGCTGGGTCCAGAGTGGGAATATAGTAGTTATACATTTTGATATGGTAGCATTTCAGGGGTATGTTTGTCACCCTTTAAGAGATTTTGTGTGTGATATTTTCAATAAAATACAATTGTAAGTCTTTGCAGTTCAATACAAAGACCATTTCTGAAATGAATGTTATTCCAAATTTATGAATGTTACCAATCCAGAAGTGTTGGTCAGTGATTTCAGCACAGAAGAATGCTGTAGAATTTTATGTAAATTTGGCATGTCTGTTGGAGTTGGAAGAATCCTTGTTAAGGATGGGCATACTTCATCCTTTTGACTTGAGCAACTAGTCCTTTTGAATATGATGTATGTATTTGAATTTTTTTATATGCTTAATATGGATTCCTGTTGCAGGAGTAACTGATGAACCTGTCTTTGGGCCATGGCTATTGATCTTTTCCCTTCACCTTTTCAGTTTAAAAGAAATTTTGGACCAGCAGCAGACGAATTCATTTCACCATTTAACATGTCGTTATATAAGTGACCAAATGCACACCATTGTATTGACTAATAACATTCATGATTGAGCTTGAACTAAATATACACAAAGAAAAAAGTTAAGCACCTGCTGTATGTTTTACAATGACTTGTTGTACGAGCATTGTCATTGAAACCCTGATCACATAACCTTGGGAAAACGAATGTGGTTTGCAAGAAGACACCTCTGACAATTAGAAAACGTAAAAGGTTTATCTTGCTTTGAGATTTTGATCATAACAAAAACTCCGAGGCACTGTATATGTGCAAAACACTAGACAGGATAAGTATGGAGATGCAGAGTCAGGAACGCAATTCCACATTGATGATGGGAGATGTCATTTTCAGTCCAAATTTACGTTCATGACACAAATCATCAATAGCCACCACAGGCCCGGATGATGGCTTCCAGCCTTCTTATTATCCATTCAGTAAGTCTCCTTATCGGCTGAATGCACAACTACAGCTATTCCTAATGAAGATTTGCCTCCAGTTGGGCCTGAGTCTGTACATGACACTCCAAGATGTCCCAAATATGGTCCAGTGGGTTCAGGACTCAAGGCAAGTCACAGCAGTGTTGCCACAGCATCATCAGCTGTTATTCCTCGGGAACGATCTGGCCCAGCATTGTCACCCATGTGCACAGGTCGGGTGGCAAGTGAGTGGTTGTCGAAATGCGGGACAACAACTGGTTGCAGGACATTATGAATGCCCTATCACCTTTGTAGTTTCCCTGGATGGTGACAAGATCCATCTTACAATCCTGTGACAGGCAACTCCAAATTTTACCAAACCTCCACCATACAGAGTCTTAGGTCTTGTGTACCTGGGTGTGTAAGCCATATTTTATGCCTCCAAACCCTCAGTCATGCATCAGTGACCTGGAGCAGGAACCTGCTCTTATCAGACCAATGTTCTCTTCGCCAAGTCTTCAGACACCAAGCTCTCGAGGCCAAACACCATGCTGAACAAATTCTCCAATGATGATCGGCTAGGAAGGGGCGTTTGATTACCCTTCTGGACTTCATTCGTGCCGATTTTAGTAGTTTCCTCACTGTTCTGGTTGACATCCATCTATTGGTTAACCATTGACGCTTCAGAACAAGATATGTTGCAAATGACGACGTTCTAGCTGAAGCAGGGCCATGTCTTTGAACTTTTACGTCACAGGTAATTCTTCAACAATGCAAGACAGTGATGGTAAGTACCCACAAGTTGGTGTACAGAGGCTGCATTTTGAAAAATGCATTGGTGGTATGGTGCACATGCATGCTTTGCTGCTATGTGACGTCGGTCACCATTGTACTGTCCTATCATTTCAACAGAACACCATTCTTGACATAATCATCCTGACATTTGCAGTTGTGATGGGGGCTATTTTAGTTTTATTTCCAGGGGTGGTTAACTTTTTTCTTTGTGTATATGTCAATTGTTAAGCAACTAGTCTCCTGGAAAACAGGTTGTTTAAGGTTATGATTAGTGATTGTAAATAAGAATTTTAAATACCTTTCCCTTGATAACTTGAATCTTGAGATGTGTTTTGACAATGTATCAAAGGCTACCTGATGTAAGAAACAAGGTTCAAAATTGGTACATGGCTTTTTTCGAATAAGAGAACAATATCTGTCCTATGTTCTCATAAAATGCAAAAATAAGTACATTGATTTTGCATCCATAGTATATGTGTTAAGAAGTCTGTTAGACATGTTAGAGGATATAAATATGACCAGTTTACAATCTTGATTTTGATCTGTGGGATGAAGTCTTCCTGTTTGCTCACAGGATCAAGGCCACAGGTTGTTAGAATACAGGGCTCATTTTCATGAACATAAGAGCAATTATCAACTTTCAGATGTCTCTGATCAGCATGAATCAGAAACTATTGAAAGTATACAAGACATAGATTTTGTGTAACATTTAAGGCTAAAGTCTTATTGATAAATTGCCTCATCTTTGCAAGACAGATGAAAGAAAGTCAAGGGTCTGTATCAGTTCTTCATTGTAAATCATCACTTTCCAAGCTGATAATGGGAAAGCTGACCATCTGCTAGAACTCAAAGCTCCATCCATATGCATTACATACTGTAGACTAAAATGACATTTTAAAAGTGGGACTATGTTCCATGATCCAGATGTTGTAATTACTGCCATGTGTGAAACTTAGGAATTGTCTGTATGTGATCACTGCCTCTTCTCCCTTAGAGTTTGCTTTCATAAGACCAGCTCAACAATCTTCGTTTCATGCCCCTAGGTAGGTTTTACTGTACAGTGTTTTGTTCCTCTTTCAGACCTATTTGGCTGTCCCTGGATGTGAGGTGGAACTCAGTGGTAGATCTAGTGGTGTGTGGGACATGAGTTGATCACTTCTTGTCTGTTGCAGGTCAGCCTGGACCACCTATCCAGTTCCCTTTCCCACCCATGCAAGAGCGTAAGTTATTTACGCTGTACTGACATGCAGTATACATTAAGGAACTTCAGTGCTTGATATTATAAGTGACAAGTTGACCCTTTAGAACATTTACGCATTGATTATGATTTTGAAAGTAGATACAAAAAAGACAAGCAAGCCATTATTTTTTGTTTATAAGATTGGGGTAAACTGCATGGGTTGAAGAAAAGTCCACAATCAGGTCTTGAGCGATACAACTGGAACATTGCCAACTGCTGCATAAAAGAACATTTGTTCATTTTATGCTTGTGGCTGAAGTAACATTATTATATTGGAGAAACTACCAGTCCTCACCACTTTTCAAAAGTCTCCCAACCAGCATAGTAATTGATGTGTTGAACCCTGAAATGTTAACTCTTTACTTTGTGTTATTCTGCTATTTTGTGCCTTTTTCATGCTTATAGAGAAACAGCATTCTGTGAAATAATTGCTTAGATGAAGCTGTGCAGGTATTGTCAAGCTGTGCTCATTGTAACACTGATGCCTTTGCTTGCAGCCATCTTACCGCCAGGGCAGCAGCTTCCACCACCTGTCGCTCAGCCTCCTATAACATCAGACTTCATATGCCCACCACGACCAGGCGTAGGGTCTGAGGGTCGTGCCATCCTTCTGAGAGCTAACCACTTCCAGGTTCGAGTACCGAAGGGCTTCATCCATCACTATGACGTCTCAATCACACCAGACAAATGTCCACGAAGGGTCAATAGGTATGGAGATGAAATGACAAAGGGACCTTATGTAATGGTCTGTTTCGTTCTGCATCTTAAACGTATTCTGAAAATTTTACGTACTTGTTCCCACCAAGGATGACACCCCAGTTTGTTCAAGAGGTTCACATCCGAAAAACAGCGGCAGCCATTTGAAATAAATCATTTTGACCATTACTCTGCCAATTTTTTCCTGAACTAAATAATTTGGTTCACGTGTTGTTGGTTGTGGGGCTTAACATATGTTCCATTTTTGCAATGTTTTATAGTTTGACATAGATTTGACCTTTGCACTTGGATCATACTGAAAGCTGAACATCTCATGGCCTTTTCTCGACCATTTTTTTGGGGGGGAATAAAAGTGGTACTTGTGTATTTATTAGTGGGGCTCAACATACCGTATTCGACCCATTAAGCGCCCAGGGCGCTTAAAAAAAGACAGAAGGGGTGGGCGCTTATTGGGACCAACTCAGAGTCAAATTGGCGTAAATTCATCAGTAAGCTGTACCATATTTTCTTGAGAATAGTGCGCACTTTTTTTCCAAAAAACACAGCTGTGTACAGGAATTAATGAGCTTTGATGTTTTTTCCCCCTGGGGCACTATTTTTATATTGTTAGGTGTGTCATATAACTTGTTGCAAGTTGTTTGAAAATATTTTGTAGTTGTATGATGACCTCTGATATTTCTGTCCTTCACTCATAATCATTAATTCAATAGCTCTGTGTTGTTACCGTTTCATGGATTTTATAACACGAATGAAAATGTTATGTAAACAAATTTCACAAAAAACACAGTTGGTTGCAAAATATGCCCATTTCAACCACAGAATATATTTTTGTACATGTATAATGTTTGTGAACATGTAATAAAAAATTAAGAATATAAATGAGTTGGCTTAATCAATGCCTATTGACCGAACAAAAGTCATCTCTTAATTCCAGATCACTGCTGACAGTTTCATCTAGACAGCGTCTGGTAAAATCCAATATTGGCAAACTTTGGCCAATATAATTGGTTCTAGACTGCAAGTAAATAATTTTACTTGTCCAGCAGCTTTTTTCTGACAGGTAGCAAGTGAAGCATTATCTTACCACACCCCTTATAGTATTATCTACTTGCTAGCATGATTATCATGCAATACATGAGTGTGTATTTTACAGGGAGATTATTGATACCATGGTCCAGTGCTACAGTCAGAAGATCTTCCTCGGAGTCAAGCCAGTGTTTGATGGCAGAAAAAACCTTTACAGCAGAGATCCTTTGCCTATTGGCAGAGACAAGGTAAAAGCAGGCCATGTGTGTAACTGAGATGAACAATGTAGTGCTATACTGCATATTATCCTCTCTATTGAAAACAGACAATTCTAAGCACGCAAATGATCTGTACTTGTATATATATTCAGAGCTATAGATAAGCTTTGGTTAGTTGGGTATTTTACACAGTGGTTTGATTTTGTAGAGGGTATTCAAAAATTGTTTAATCACCTGATTCTGAACATTTGGGTATTTTAACTTGAAAACCTGTTTCGTTACAATCCCCTTAAATCATTTAAAACTATATGAATAGTAGTGTACTGGTGTGCATCTGCTTGTGACTCCCTCTCCGTGCAACTGTTTATGACACCACATGTACACCACACTAGGCATGATGTGCTTTTCAATTGGCATCTATCAGTATATTCGTCGCACAAGCTTTTCGAATTTAACTGTCGTTAAGTGAATTTTGTGGTGGGCTGATTCACAATCATTTTATCTAACAGTTGTAATATATGCAATTTTGTTTTTTTATCTAATGGTTGTTATATACTCAATAGTTTTGGTTTAATAAAAAAAATTATAGTTTCTATTGCATATTTGATATGCTGGGATTTCATTTGTCTGCGTGTTAGTTAATTTAATGCATGTTTACGCAAATATGCAGCTTTTGCGAGCTCTGTACATTTCTGCACTAATTATGTTCAGCTTCTACTCTCAAAATTTCATTTGAACCAGAACATGTTCAATATGATGAACAAATTATACTTTTGGCGCTAAGGGCTTTTAGGTTTCAAAACTCGACTTGTCACCTGCCTGACTGCTATGAGGGCAAATGTAATTTACCTGAAGCCTGATGTTATTTTCTTTCGCATTTGTCTCCTTCCTAACAGGAAAAAAACATTTTATGGCTCCTTAAGATTATATCAACTTTGAGGTGTGAATGAACACGCTGATATTTTTCACAGGTGGAGCTAGAAGTAACGCTTCCAGGTGAGGGTCGAGACCGTGTATTCAAGGTGGCCATCAAGTGGGTGGCCCAGGTGAGTCTCTACCTGCTGGAGGAGGCCTTGGAGGGACGCACACAACAGATACCCCTTGACGCCATACAGGCCCTCGACGTCGTCATGAGACACCTACCAAGCATGAAGTGAGTGCTGTGTTTAATGTTTTGGTGTATTTGAACATTTTGGAATACGATAGTATTAACTATATATAGCCAAAAAAATCGGGGAATATTAAAAATTCACTTTTGCTAGATGGGATTTCACATTTCATGAGCACATGAACATATTGGGTAGGTGGGTTGTTACTGCTTATTTGTGTAGTCAGCAATATGCTTCTGAGAGCTACAGCAAGACTTGAAGGTTGTTGTTTTTTATTTGGATTAGAATTACTACTGAAAGTGAGAATGTTTTGTTTCTGTCCCACAGATATACACCTGTAGGAAGGTCATTCTTCTCCCCACCAGAAGGGTATGAACACCCTCTGGGTGGTGGTCGGGAAGTGTGGTTTGGCTTCCATCAGAGTGTAAGGCCATCACACTGGAAGATGATGCTCAATATAGATGGTATGTTGGCGGGGAATGCATTTTGTGATGTCAGGAATATCCTTAAAGTCTCATTCCAACACGTCAGCTTTTATTGTTTCATCTGATGTTTAGCACATACACCAAACTCTGTTAATATTACATGAAAGATAATGTGATAATTTTTTACTTGTCCTTCATTACTTCTTAATGCTTACCTTGCGACAAAGACGACAGTGGTTTACGATGGTCCTGGGTGAGAAAAAAGTGTTGTTTCTATCTCAAGTCTGCAGGACCCATCACCACTGTCATGTGACAGATCGTGACATCACAACCAATTCACATACCTGATTGTCATCCTACAGGGATGTTTTGCTTCGTTTTGCTCCTCAAACTTTGGCTTAATATGGTGATTAGCTTTCTGCTACTACACTAAATTTTGTCTGCGATGGGTGATGTATTCCATTTCATATTATGTTCACTTTAATGTGTATTAATATGCTGGTGTTTTCCACGTGAAAGAGTGTCTTTTTCCCCTGCCACGTGGCTCGTTTCCACAATTTTAAATACGAGTTACATTGTTTACTTCCATGTGGAGGTAGTCATTATTGTTTGCAATTCTCGGCTAGGTATTAACATTTCATGTATATTTAAATACCTTTATCCATTGGCATTATATAGAGTTGCAATCTTGTAATTTGACACACTGTAAAAACTATTTCAAGTTTGCGTAACTTATGCTTGTGCGTTGCACTAATTGTCGTGGCAGAAAATCTTTTAAAGATCCTCTTCCACATTGCTTGAACTGCACTCAAGTATGCACTCCAAATTTTAAATGTAATTTTTGCTCTCCTGGGTGCATCAATATTGACATCTTCAGGGCTTCCAGCGTATCCTGCGATGTCATCTACACAGCCTTACGCTGTACCACCAACCTACCTGGTAGTTCAACCTATGAACACAAGGAGAATAGTTGGATGCAGAACTTCATGCAATCCCTGTTGCAGCAGTCCATAGCACAAATGTACCAGGCGCCTGCGCCAGCAACGATGCTTATGCCTCAGACAACCCAAGCGCTTGTGCTTACGCCTACACCTGTCGTACACCAGACACCATCTACATCTGGTATGCCATTAGCTTGCGCCAACACCACTGCTCATACATGGATGACATTGCACAGCTCACCCTCACCAGGCGCTTCATCTAAGCACTCTTCGAGAGTAAGAGCTACGCACAGCAGCGGAAGTCGTTCACCTACGAGGAGAGCGCATCACCACCATTCTGATTCTTCAGAGCTATCAGGCAGCGAGGAATGAGATTCATCTGACAAATGGAACACCCACCCCAGCCAAGCACAGGTGCCTGAGTGGATGGCAGACCGCCTCAAGTCAGTAGCGCCTTCGCCTGAGCCGGGGTCTATAAGAGGGATACCATCTGATCGCAACCCCATCTATACCACTTGATCCTATGCTTAGGATATGGTAGGCACGGAGCAGTACACCTTGGGTTGTGCTTGGATTTCATAGTGAAAAATCAACTACCAGGCCAATCTGACCAGTCCTTCACCATTCCACTCTTCCCCCAATCTCTGATTGTGGATCGCAATATGGATGAAATAATGCCGATGCGACGTTAAATTTTAGGAGGGTGAACATCTTTTGTGCCCTCATAAGCCACCTCAAAACTAGGCATTCGTAGAAACATCTATTCATTTCCGTACTTGTCAACTTGTCATTTGAAGGGTTTATAATTATTGAGGTTTTTGACATCTGAAGGTATACCCAATGCCATACCTACCGTCTGATAAAGATGCGTGACTAATGCAGGATACAAATATATTTTAGCAAAATCTAAAAAAAAATTTTACATTTGTAAATTTATCCTGCATTACTACGTCTAAGGACCCACCCATCCCAGACTTGCCTCCCCATCAGAAAAAAATATTTTGTTAGCTTGGGTGACGAGCAGGACTTGGTTGTGACGTCATGATCTGTCACATGACAGCGGCGATGGGTCCTGCAAAAAAGTAGACTTGGGATGGAAACAACGCTTTTTTCTCACCAAGGACCACCGCAAAGTGTTGTCTTCTTTTTTGTAATGTAAGCAATAGATGCATTAAGGAGTAATACTGGTTAAGTATGCAAATGTAAAAAATATTTAGATATTACTTATATTTTTGCACTTATCAACATTTTAATGTATAGAATAATCCTTTATTAAAGTCCACTTGCTCAAAATGTGGAAAATTCTAGATCTGAGGATTGCTCAAGTACCGGTATTTGGGCTTGTACTGCTTTCTATCCCTAATTTTAGGATGATATACAATTTCTGCATCTTTTAAAGGCTATTGTTATTTATTGAGCAGTGTCTAGAGAAAGTCTAGTGCTCCTTGTCATGATCCCAGTGTTAAGAGTTTATGGGAACCCTAGATTCAACTACTGTCTAATTTTGATGACTGCTTAGATATAAGCCCTATTATGGAAATAAAATCCAGGCTTTAGGTAATTTGGAAGAGGAAATGATTGACGTGTTATTTAGGCTATTAATAATAGCATCATAACAAACATTTAATGATGTTATTACTTGAAAAACCAACACTACAATATATGTGGACCAGTTTAACCATACTTGGTGATTGCTTTCCAGTGTCTGCTACTGCCTTCTACAAGGCTCAACCTGTCATTGAGTTCATGTGTGAAGTGCTCGACATTCAAGATATCGGAGAACAAAAAAGGCCCCTCACTGATTCACAACGTGTCAAATTCACCAAAGAAATCAAAGGTATCACTTTATCTTTGAAAAAGGGAATGCTAAAGCTCAATGTTCCCAACTCTTCAGTTCTGGTACGGATACTAATGTTATCAAACTCTTATAGCACCTACAGTTGGTTTTACTTATTTTGTTGGTCATTACCGGATGCCACGTTTACTAATACTGCAACTTGATTTCCACCATTCTATGCGAAACTTTTACCTTCAAATTACTGTTTGTTGATGCTGAAAGTTTTCGTCCCAATATTGTGCACCCCAGTTAATTTTGTTCTAGCATGTTTGAACGTAGATTGTTTGAACATTATTTTTCAGATTCTTTTTGTACATGAAGGCATGTTATGGTAAACTGAGATTTCTTAATTTTTTAATTTTTTTTGTTAGAGTAGCATTGATATGTTTTGTGAACCAGTAGCTGTAAGAATGTACTGTTAGGAACAATATATATCGTTTGTGTAAGTCTGAGATATATACCTGCAACTTACAATTGAAAACTGTTGGCTTTGGCACAGGTCTGAAGGTGGAGATCACCCACTGTGGTACCATGAGGAGGAAGTACAGAGTCTGTAATGTCACCAGAAGACCTGCTCAGACTCAGTCGTAAGTCGGAAGATTTACCAGGTCGGCAACTTGAGGAACTGAAATTCTGTTGGGCTCCTTTTTATTATAGGAATGTTCTGGAATCATTGTGATGATGCAATGTAATGATTTTTACATGATAATGTGTGAAGCCCTTTCTTGATGTTTTGCTAAGATATGGATGGAACATTGCTGAAAGTGACAAAGCTATTTTCATTCCTAGGGGATAAGGATGTTTATTCAGAACATTTTTCATTTAATTTTTTTTTTTTATAATTACTTCCTTAAATGTTATAGACTGGTAGGTAAGGTAATGTTTTATCAGGAATATAAATTCCACTCAGAATTACAGGCATTCTGTCACACTCTAATGGGACTGCTTCTTTTGTATTAAATAATGTAGTTATGTACCTTCAATTCAAATCTGAAATGAGCTGTGAACTAGCTGGATTTTACTCCTGGTGTCTATACTGATTGACATTCATCTGTACAGTTTAATAACATATTTTCCTGTATAGGTCATTGTCTTTTGTGCCCATAAGTAAAAAGTATTGTTTAATAAAATACACACGTACAGTAGCTTCTTGTAAGAATATTATTCAAGAATCAGTCAAATTGGAGGAAACTTTCATTCCCACTTTAATACTTTGAAACACTAAAGGGGAAATTTATTAAGCAGATGTGAGGTTAGCAGATACAGAATATTGTGCAGCAAGACCGGGTTAATAATGTGACATGATAATACTGGCAGTTGGATACAACGAGAGTGTAGGTGTACAGTGTGATGTGTGTGCTTGTATCCCAGGTTCCCCCTGCAGTTGGACTCTGGACAGACTATTGAGTGTACTGTGGCCAGGTACTTCATGGAGAGATACAAGATGAGACTGCAGTAAGTGGACATTACCAATAACATATCACTTTAACTTTGATCAGTTGTTCAAGGATTTACAACTAGTTGAACCATGTTTACCTTTGATGCTGTTTTTTGGGAATACATGGTTGTCTAATTGTCACAAGCTGTGAGGGATGGCACAGGGAATGACTAAACTATTCTGGGAGTTGCTGATTACTAACAGACTTTATCATCCAAAACTGGCACCCACAGGAGATATTGCTTGGGTGAGATCAAGCGATATCTACATTGTAGATATCGCTGCAATAAAATTGCATCACAATGCTTTGCAAACAATTGTGACATCATTGAAAATACTGAAAATGAGCATACTGAAAATGGGGATCAGATGCTCAGGCTCTTTCAGACCCTTAATTACAGGTCACAGGGATTAACTGAGACTGTGATGTTAAGAAACAAACACTATCAATACCACAATCCTTTTACCAGATATTTAAGACTATTTAACAGTAATATGTTAGGTAGAGTTGCAAGTTGTATGCATGGTTTTAATAATTTGAGTGTCAGCCTATGTGTTACTATAGAGATACATGCTCAATGAACATGTGTGAAATGTTTGTATTCATTGCAGGTACCCCCATTTACCTTGCCTGCAAGTAGGACAGGAACAGAAACACACCTACCTCCCTCTAGAAGTGAGTTAATCTGCTGTTCTGACTGTACAAACCAGGCCTGACTCTTTAAAGCTGAATAAAACATTACTTCTGTAGAACTAGATCTGACATGAAGATCAAGGTCACTTTTGAACACATTAATTCAAGACATGACAGTGTACTATGTTGCAATGTCTTTGGATCAAGTTTTTGGCCTCCCAAGTTTCTATATTCATCTATGAGATTTTCTTGTCTCTGATATTGGCAGTCATGTAGGTTGCTACTAATTCTGTTTCAGATTCGATTTGTTTTCGCTATGTGATGTTTTAATTGTCAAGGTAATTTTAGTCAGCCAGCATTATGTCTAAGAAAAATATATAACAAATCTCACATTCATAAAAAGATCACAGACTTTCTAAAAGGCATATGTCCATTGTGCTATAAACATACAGCAAAACAGGATTTGTCCACCCCTGTACAACTCCAAGCATACATTGATTGGTGAGATATAAATTGATATAAATTGAGGGGCGGTCGGGTAGCCTAGTGGTTAAAGCGTTGGCTCGTCACGCCGAAGACCCGGGTTCGATTCCCGACATGGGTACAATGTGTGAAGCCCATTTTTGGTGTCCCCCGCCGTGATATTGCTGAAATATTGCTAAAAGCAGCGTAAAACCATACTCACTCACTGATATAAATTGATCATGTTGGTCCCTGTCATGCAAGTAACAGGATAGTTATGATCCTGCAACATATATCTGATACTAATGTTTGTATGGCTGCTGTGACAACTGTCCCATTTGTATGTTTTTTTTCATGAAATCACTCTCTTCCAGGTATGCAATATCGTGGGTGGCCAGAGGTGTATCAAGAAACTGACTGATCTGCAGACTTCAACCATGATCAAGGTTTCTCAAATAAGTTGTTGTCTATCTACAGCATACACATGAGGCAATCAACCATCACTCGGTTACCAACCAGTGGTCATTTCATTATATCTTGACAAATGATTCTTATTTTTGACAACATAATGAAGTTTTAGAACTGTTTCAGGGTTTTCTTTGTGTGACCTCAATCCATCTGTGATTCCTTTCTGAAATAGTTTACCATGACCCTGTTTCCATTGTCATCAGAAAAGTACTATTTGTTGTTGCATGCTCTGTAGCCACCTTCCATAATCTCTACCCATTGGTTCTGATAACCTAGTCTGTGTGAGGCGTCCTGGGCAGCAGCAGCAGCATCATGCACAGAACATTAGAACTATTGCTGTGTGCCACTCCAGCAAGACACTTGATATTCACATAATTCCATCTCTAATAGTTGGAACAGGGCCTTGTAGCCTTTAGTGCAGCAAATTAGCATGTTTAGAGTGGACATACCCAATTTGAACATGCTGAACAAGAAATGTCTTCCCACGTGCCTCAGCTGGCATGCTGTTTGTAGCAATACCTTACTTGAACCTGATGCTAGCTCCACCCCTTCAAGGCCCTTGGATAGCCATCTTGCCCAAATTATTTTTCTTGGATAAGTATTTTTGTATAGTTTGTTTTGAGGTGTGTCAGTGATGCACATGCTTTGTGTGTCTGTTTTCGCTTCACAGCCTAGTGAGTTTCATTGCCTCATGCGTGTGTTGCTATAAATAGGAATGAGAGTGTCATGAAATCATTATCGTTGTGGCCGTATGTGCATTCTCATACCTTTGTTTTCATCTGCTTTATTTCCCTAATACTGCAGTTCTTAAGTTGGATTTTAAGGACCTTCAAATGTGCCAAATTGTTTAAACTCCATATTTTCTTGTTTACAGCTGTGTGTGGGGGGTGCTTTATACAAGCAGAGTTGTGATTAATCTTTTCTTAAAGGGAAGACATGACCTTAGAATGAAACCGGTCAAACGGTGACTTTTCAAAGTGTTCTGTATGCAAAAACTAGTGTAACTATAAATACAGCTGATATTGTAAACCATCATGTCTACCCATCTTTTGTGGCATTATCCTGTTAATTCACTTGTAGCGATACCGTCTAGTTTTGGACTGCACATTATATACAAAATAACAATTTATCCCCGAAACTTGCACCCAAGAATGGGGGCGTGTGTGTGCACATTATGCTAAGTGCGCACTATACACAAGAAAATATGGTATGCTTTGTACAATGAATTAATTTGTAATCTTAATTGAGATCATAAATTTTGTAAATTCGTTCCAACAACTGATGCTATGTTTCATTTTATCAAGAAACGTGGCTAGTTGTTGTGATTTATGAAATATTGACATCTGAATATTAATTAATAAGCCCTTAAATCTTCAATGTTTTTAGATTATAGTTTGTTATTGCTGTTTTCTGCTATACTATTAGTTCTATATGGACAGAAATCAAAGAGCTATGTGTTTCTTTGGATTTTGAAAGATTAATTTAAATAATATTTAATGCTATTTAAGAGTTGTTCTCAGACTTAGATTGTACATTTGAGGAAGAAGACAGTACCTTACTGTTTCTGTAAAAGAGTGCATTTTTCTTCTTGCCATCCTGTAATTTAACATTACCTGTTTAATGCCATACTCAACAATGCTCCAGGTATATGATGGTGACCTTAAAATAACAAAGTTTAGGCCAGACAAACCAATGATTGGTGTTATGAGCCATGATCTGGGGACCAATTGTAACCCATAATCCGAGTTAATTGACATTGTACTATGATGATCAGATACGATAAAAAGTAATATTTAGTGATAATGCAGGCAGGAACATATGATATAGAACTCATGTACAGATGGGAAATGAATAAGAGAACACTTAGTTTTAGACACAGTAATATGATATGCTGTCATGGAAACAATGCACACAATCACATCTCAACATTAGATTGTGACATGTTGAATTTGTTTTGGCGCTATTTCAAATGTACTGCCAGTAAAGCGAATTTCAATATATTGTTCATTGTTCCCTTCTTCGTTTCCATGAGTATCTCTGATATTATCTCTTCACTAACATGTTTGTGTTGCCCTTCAGGCTACAGCTCGGTCTGCACCCGACAGGGAGAAGGAAATCAACAGTCTTGTGAGTTATTCTAAATGCATACATTATGTAAAGTATATTCATATCATCAGAATTATCAGCACTGTAAGTGGATTTGTCTACAAGTGAATGTAAAATATATTAATATGATTAAGAATCAGTACATGAATCTGAGATACCTACTTCATACATTACAGTTATCTTTCTATGCTGAATTTACTGTCTAAAGGCAATATCTTGGCTTACTCTCTGAAAGATATGTTTGAAAAGCATAACATAGAATTGATGTTCCATCCAGTTTTCAATAAGGTTGAAATGAGTTCAATTTGATAAATCTTCACATTTTTGTGTCATGTTTCATTTCAGAATACCTTAGTATTTGTTTTAATTCTCATCTTTTTATATTTCTGGAATGAAAGTGTGTGTGAACTCTGCATCTCTTGTAATCTCATAAAATTGTGGTCAAGATTTCAACATGTGTCGGTATTTTATATCTTTTCATTAAAATCTACTGAAATGAATTCTCTGACAAGTTGAAATAATAATTGTCAAGAAACTCAAGTTTTCAAATGCTGCCTATGGCATTGGCCAAGTAATGTATGTGACAAGAATTATTTCTTGTCCACAGTTGTATTGAAAATTCATTAATTAGTAAAAACAAATCTTGGAGGAAAATGATTTCTTGTTTTTATTCTGCAGAGAGAGAGAGCATGATTGTCTACTGATTGTAATTTCCCTCTATCATGTTACTCATATCATATTCTTGCAGTGTTATCTAGAATTGAGCCTCTCAATTTCGACAGTAATGAACCTATCATTCAATATGTTTTCAAACCTCCAAACATTTTGATGACTATCTCTCAGAGCAAAATGAGACAAGTCGTAAAATATGTCCTGGAAAACAAGCAAGTGAATGCACAATTGGTGCTGGAGATATGAATTTATGCATTACCGAGCATGATAGAGGGAATGTATGTCTGACGGTGTTCCCACCAGGTTTATAAGGCGGACTTCAACAATGATCCCTACCTACAAACCTTTGGGGTCACAGTTCAATATGAAATGACCGACGTCAAAGGTCGCATCCTCACGCCTCCTAAGTTACAGTATGGCGGACGGGTAGGCCAAACCTTCTCCCTACATGCCTAACACGAACCATCAAGCACTTTATGCAAACGGGGTAAAACGTCAAAACTCAACTGTTGTCTTCATCATGATCCTATTCCACAAAGCCAACTTAGTGCCGCATCATTTCAGTGCCTATTCTTTAACATAGACTTAACTTGCTTGTAGCACTGAAACCACTTTGTGGAATATGGGTCCAGCAAATCATAGCTCCAAGGTTATGATTTATGAAGATCTGTTGGACATGAAGTTTGTGTAAAGTCCTTGTTGGTTGTTTATACAGGGCGTGTGTTGTCTAATGCCTCCCTATTTTTTTACCAAAATTATTACCCCATCTGATTGCTCAGGTTCGGAAAGCTAATTTCATGGCTGACACCTACCTTCAAACTTTCGGCATCAACATTAATCCCACCATGGTCGATGTTCAAGGGAGAGTACTCAATCCACCGAAATTACAATATGGAGGCCGGGTAAGGAGGACGACATCGATGACGAATGCTGGAGTCCGTCTTGACTTCTCTATCGCCAAGCATGCATGCCACAAGATACAGACTAGTGAAACAACCAACCAAACTGGATAAACAGTTATTGCTTGCACATGCCTACAGAATCCTATTAAATATGCTTTATAATTGAAAGTTAGAATCAAACCCAATGATTTACATTCCAGAATTTTCTGGACAGTTGGAGGCAATATAAAGACAATATATGCTTTATTTAGTTTGCATTGTATTTGCTTTATTAATAATTAATCATTTGCATGTATTTAATTTGATTAGTATTTATGCTGTTTAAAATAATGCTTTTAAATAAAAATAACATTTTGAGCTTAAAGTGAAAATTAGTTTTCTGTTAAATATTTTGTAGTTCTATTGATTAATGTAGTCAGTTGTCACATCATGTCAAGGTGGTTGGTGGAATTTGTGATAAGGCTAGAAAAGTGAAGCATAATCAAATATTTGTTTTTGGCACAGTTTTTTTGGCCTCCACTTGTAGCTTGATGCTGAGCTTTTTCTGGTGGAACCATAATTGCTATTTAGAAGTGATTGGAAGTTTGTGAAATATCTTTTGATCTTGAAAGTTTGAAATAGTATTTATTTCTGAATACAGTAGTCCTGCTAACTCAGAAATAATTTGACGTCAAAACTACCTACAGCCACCTTTACTGTTCCACTGTGTTAGTGTACAGTGTCTAACCCCCATGCTCTGTTGTTGCACAGACCAAGGCACAGGCCGTGCCAAACCAGGGAGTCTGGGACATGAGGGGCAAACAGTTCTACAGTGGCATTGAAATCAGGGTCTGGGCAATAGCTTGCTTTGCCCCTCAGAGAACTGTCCGAGAAGATGCCCTCAGGTAACATTTGCCAGGGGAACATTTGCGTATGAATTTGGGTTTTTTTGGGTTGTTTTTTTGTGTGAAGAATCTTTGGGTACCTCATATTTGATGAAGAGGACTTAATTTGTAATATGCATGTAAGCTTGCTTTATATATACCGTATATCGCTGTATATAAGGCGAGTTTTTCGTACCTCGAATTAGGGGGCTTTCAGGGGGGGGGGGGGGGGGGCGTCTTATACACAGGGTTGAAGAGTTTTGATGTTTTTCCTTCCAACACAGACATAACTGTGAGCATGTAACACAGGAAATACCATGTCAACAAATCCCTTACGAAACTAATCATGTAAATACACTGTCTGGTTATAAAAACAGTTCATTATATATCTGGACTTACCTTGTAATCTATTTTATTAATTTAATTCAAAATTTCATTCAATATTATTTATTTTCATTTCGACAAAATTGTATGTGAAGTGATCAGAAGATCGTACAACTCTTACAGCAACCACGATCATATTACAGCTATTGACACCTTGAAACAAAATTTAATGGATAAAGATTGGATAAATATATCATAAATGCCATACTTTGACTCGCTGAAAGTCATATTTGTTGTACTTGACAACAATTTGTCAACATAGTTTTCACTATCGCGAGCGCGGAAGCATCGGCGATGATTGGTCAAATTGTTCCATACAAAAAAAATATCCGGCAATGGTAGTCATCTGTACCAAGGTGCTACACTTATGGTTATTAATTTATTTCAAATATATATAGTAAAATACTACAAAAATTACATGATATTGGAATAAATTATTCCAAATAAAATAATAGTTTCAGATTCAATTCTTTCGATTATTGTATCAAAATTCTTTAAAGTTATATTATTGGGTAATTATTAACCAAACCACCAGTAGATTCTGAGAAATGTGTGTACAGCTGATTGCTACTTCTGGCTTAGAATATGAGAAAATACACACGGTAATCTTAATTTCTGCATATAAAACAATGCCTATCAGAACAGAAAATACAATTTAATAGGAAAATGATCATGTCTAGTGGTTTTTTTTATCTCAACTTTTAAATTTGTATTGACCAACAACACATTTTTATTGCAAATGCAGAGATTGCGTATTCTCTGGTGACATGCTTCATTCCGATTCGCTTTATAGACGGGGTATATAAATTAGTATCCATTTTAAAGGCTTGTACAGGGGCGGCGTCTTATACGAGGGGTTGCTTTAGACGGCGATATAAGGTATATATTATATTTCTGTTCAGGGACATCCATGCACTAATTCTTGAATATTTGCTTTGTGATTCACTAGGTGTGGTTAGAGGCAACTAATAGGATCAGTTGGTCAGACTCTCTGACTTGGTTGATGCATGTCACCATTTCCCGATTGCATGGATCATTGCTCATGATATCAATCACTGGATTGTCTGGTCCAAACGCGATTATTTACAGACTGCTGTCATAGCTGTAATATTGCTTAGTGATGCATTAAGCATTAAACTATGAATTTTCTCAAAAACTATTCAAGATAGAGAAATAAAAATTTACGCACTGATGTTACTGGTCACGATCTCAAATGAGTTCGATGTCATATATTACTTTTTACAGAGTTATGACCTTTGCTCCATGCATTTCAATATAGTGCATAGTGTATGCAATGGGGACATGTTTTCTCAGAAACTACTGAAGTTGCATGAATGAAAGTTTGCCTGCTTAGCTAAGACTAAGAGATACTTGTCAAGACTGAGTTCGAAAATTGGTCTCGTCAATTTTATTTTTTTTAACAGTTACAGCCCTTGATCCAAGATATTTTACTTGGTGCATAAAGTGTCTGCAATGGGGACTAGTTTTTTCAGAAACTACTGAAGTTAGCTTATCTAAGAGATACTGATCCAGCATTAGGAGTTTTTTTTCCAGAGAAGGGGGCTGTTTGTGTGTATTAATTTCACATTAGGCATGTTTTCTGATGACATAAAGCAGCCCAAGTGCCTATCTCTTCTTAAGGCTTTATAGGACTCTTCTAATCCAAATTTGAATATAGTCACAACTTTCACTGAAATTGTGTATTGTACACTTAGTATTGATCACATTTTAGTGTATTTGTTCAGGCCCTGTTAATTATTGACATTAGTTGATATGTCTACTGATTAATATTTTGATCTCTGTTTAGAAGTGTGCAAATACATAAACCTGAGTGATGTGGATATTTCTTATATTTCAGAAATTTCACATCTCAACTCCAGCGTATATCCAATGATGCAGGAATGCCTATCATGGGTCAGCCATGCTTCTGCAAGTACGCCACTGGTCCTGACCAGGTGGAACCCATGTTCCGATATCTGAAAAACACATACCAGGGATTGCAGCTCATAGTGGTCGTATTACCAGGCAAAACACCTGTATATGGTAAGTGAGGATGGAGATTTGAATTGATTACTTTTAGAATGACCCAGTTGTCTCAGGCATCGCAATTCGCTGTGCAGAGGCATGCCAGCACCATACCCCTACTCCTGTCTCAGATCTGCATCACTTCGGCCTTTCCTCCCACATCATGCTCACGTGGTATACATGAAATACTGTTCAAAGCTGTTAAACCAATCCCGCTAATTTCTGTTTTCTTTGTTTGATGTTAACGCCGCACACAGCAATATTCAAGCTATATGACGATGGTCTGTAAATATTCGAGTCTGGACCAGGCAATAGTGATTGATATCATGAGCATCGATCCATGCAATTGGGATACGATGACATGCATCAACCAAGTCAGCCAGCCTGACCACCCGACCCTGTTAGTCGCCTCTTAAGACAAGCATAGTCGCCTTTTATTGCAAGCATGTGTTGCTAAAGACCTATTCTACCCCGGATCTTCACAGGTCTCAACAAGCATATTTCCATTAACATCTGTTGATTAAGGCAGGTACAGTCTTTGAAGCCATTGTTTGGGAATGTAACCAAACAAGGTCAGAGATTGAAAACAATCACAGTGAAAATGTCACAGCTTTTTTTTGTGTTGCTAATCTTTGGGAAGCCAGATATTTAGATGTTTACTTTAGAGCACTGCTGTGGCTGTTCAGCAATGTTGCAAGAAGTAATAAATAAAGGCTATTCAGGGCAAGTATACAACTGCAGTAAATCTTTAATAGTGGCATGCTGGCTGTTCAGACATCAATCCTGTAACAATTGGCCCCCATTTCAGCTGAGGTAAAGCGTGTTGGAGACATCCTGTTTGGCCTGGCAACTCAGTGTGTGCAAGCCAAGAATGTCAACAAGACATCCCCCCAGACTCTGTCCAACCTCTGCCTCAAGATCAACGTCAAACTAGGCGGCATTAACAGTATCCTCCTGCCAAGTATTCGGTAAGTATAGACTTCCTACTTCCTCTTCCTACAATCAACTTGTCCTTAGTGGAAGATACACACATGTAATTCATGCAGTTTGTGGTATTTTTTTTATCATTTTCATTCTGACCAGTAATATATAGCTGAGGATAATTTGGTTGTATTCTGTGTACTGCTTCCCCTTTCACCGATAAACTTTGCATGGATATATATCGATCAAACAAAAGTAGACAATCGTCAGTTTTTCTATGATACTCATTGGAAGGGAAGCAGCACATTGATATTCATATGCTCTGAATTTCTGTCCAGTATTGAGTTTATATTTCCATATGAAAAAATATGTTACCTCCAAGAATGGTCTTGTGTGGTTGTGATGATAAATTTGTAAAAAAAAAATTGATGCTTGGACAGAAGTTCTTCTTTAAATGCTTAAATATTCATGCAGCATGGTGTAATCTCTGATCAATGCAGGCATGTCTGGATCACTCTTCTGAAGAAGTATCAAACATTATGCACTCTCCTTAAAAAAAAAAAATTCTTGTGAAAAGATATTATGAAAGTAGTTGTAAGTCGCAAACAAATGATAGGTCAAATTAAGTGATTAATAAAATGAATTTTTTCAGTGCATTGACACCATGATATAACTGCAATACTGTTCAAATCATCATCAAACCCAACTCTCACTTTTGTGTTATGAAGTTTGTGTAAATTAACCAGTTGAGTTCCACAATGTTTTATCAATGTTTACATACAATGTCGAAAAAGCTGGTAATGCTGAAATAAAGTTTTGTTCTTGTTCTATAATCTGTATTATGTCAAATGCAGCCTAATCCTTTGTTGATTTGTACTAAACTTCAGTGCTTTGTGAATGATGACATGTACATTTCCCAAACTGAACATGAAATGAGCATGCAGCTGTGAATGCCCAAGTATTGTCTGCCCCAACTCTCCACTGACAAACATTATCAAGCATACTTTCCAGTCACTAACCAGAAGTGTGTTGGACGTGGAACAACAACATGTTGTTAGCATCAAACACACTGCAGTTAATAACAACTACTTGTTTAAAGAGTGTTGTTTTGCAGACCCAAAGTATTTCTCCAGCCGGTTATTTTTGTTGGTGCCAGTGTGACACATCCCCCAGCGGGCGACCGAACACGTCCTTCCATTGCTGCAGTAAGTCTCATGACTTGCCTGCTTATCATCGGACATCAACTCTATCAATAACTGGCACTAGACACCATAACAATCTTCTCGGCTTGCATGAGGACTGTATTGGGAAACAAGACTTCAGGAAATTTAGGAAGAACATACCCCCTTTTCAGTGAGAACTCATGGATTTGTATATGCAGTATGCCTCAAAATTATGGTTTACCATCTTAATGGATTTTGGTATTCTCCCCTAAATAGAGATTTTTAAGGGGGATAGTCATTGCAAAGGATGTTGAATGTTTCCTCAAGTTTCACGTTTCAGCTTTAGGATAGGAAAAGTGTGAAATGAATTAATGTACATTCTACAGTCTGAAGAGCTGAGCCGAGAAGTGTCTGCAGTCTGTGTCGGTTTTGATATGAGGCTGGTGTCTGATGGCGATTAGTAGATTGCAATTATGCACCTCTTTGTTTCAGCCCTAGCGTGTTTCGGGAGCCAATCATTTTCCTGGGTGCTGATGTAACACACCCACCAGCAGGAGACTGTTCGAAACCTTCCATTGCTGCCGTAAGTCGTCCCCGTAGACTAGACATCTGCCAATGTTGTCAGGGTTTTGTACTAAACTTGTGTGTCCACTCTAATGGTGTTCCTAGTCAACTCACTTCAAGTTCTTATGTTGCAGGGAGTTGCATGTACTATTACTGTTTCATTTCAAAATGTTACAATATCTATTTCGAGGACAAGTCTCGATTCATTGACTGTTGATCTCTTTTCTCAACTAATCTTCCTGTTAGTCAGTTGTAGCATTAATGGTAACGTCTGTCAAGATCCCAGGTGTCAGATGTTCACAATTTCCCCACAGGTAAAACCTTCGACATGTTAATAATGAGATTGGCTGATCAACAAAGCTATCACCATGACTACATTTCTGCTTTAACTTTCATTATGTTTTCTTTACTTCTGGAGATATAAACAGAGAAGATAAAGATTTTGTCGGTATGGTTTTGTTGATTCTCTGCCAAGCCAACTAAACATATGAATTCTTACAAATTGGGTGGTACATCAAAAGATAGGCCTAAGTCTCATTGATACTCCATAATGAACCACCTCAGAACATTCAAATGAGGTCACCAGTAACAGTTTTGAACCCTCTCAGAATCCAGATCTATTGCACTCTGTTGCTTGACTAAATTGTATTTGGTGGTCAGTAGGGCTGCAACGAATACACTATGAGGCGAATACGATTCATATCATGAATATAGGGTAACGAATACGAATAATTATTCACAGATACAATAACAAGTCAGCAGTTGATCTTTAATTTATTACATTCAGTTAAAAATAACAGCATAAATTATTTCACATGGTTAGATAATTATTAATATATTATACATTTATATACTGCATTTATCCAGGTACTAGTATCTGCTCAAATACAACAATGACCGGTGACCATAATACTGTCAAATTATATATATGAGTGTTGTCTTTAAAGAAATCTCTGCATATAATATGTTCTTATGGATATTTTAGGTACAGGGTATGTAGATGCACATGATTGTATATTCGTAAACATTCGGTTCTAGTGACCACGAATAACAAATTCAATTCATGAATGGATACCGTTCAATTTACTTAATACGTGAGTGAATCGTAACAGCCCTAGTGGTCAGGCTCAGTGACTTGGTTATTTTCGGTCAATGTACCCAGATGGTGTAAGACTCATTTTCTCAGTCGCTGGTTAGGAAACAAAACAAAGATTCTGTCACAAATACTTGTCTTTCCTGGTGATAATACACTTGGGATCAACTGGTCACAATGGCAAATACTCTCATTAACAATCCTGTTTAGTCTGCATTAGACCCAGTTACATTTTGTAAGCCATTTTGATAGAAGATATTTCAGACTTTGAATATACACTAACACAAAACATTGTCTTTGTTAGTGTCTTCTTTACTAATACTAAGTGGCAGTATTGCACATGAATTTGGCATCTTTTTCACTTGAAAAGTAAATGGTATACACATTTTACCAGCCAGCATTTCCACAGAATTGTGATTGAATTTTGAACATGGATGCCTCAACAGCCATGATCAAATATTAAGTTATTTTTTATTCACGTGGAATATGGAATGTAATATGCACTGAGTATTTCTGTTGTGTAATAACTTGTTTAGTTTCTTGCATACTTTGAGGATTCAGTATCTTAATGAAAAAAATAATATTGAATGTGTTGCAGAGCTTTCAGGTGAGCTACAGGGCCTCATGTTGGACATGATTTTGCAGTTGATAGACTTTAATATGTTTTCAGGGTGATATATTCTATTGAGACATGCTTTGTAGCAAAATGGATTGTTTGTACTAACAAGTTGCATATGTTCACTTCCTTGTGTGGTGATTAATCCTATTGAGTCATACATTGTAACATAATAAATTGTTTCTACTAACAAGTTACATACATATGTACACTGCCTTATGCAGTGATAATCCAAGAGAGACATGTTCTTGGTAACAATGAATTGTTTGTACTGACATATAGATGTACACTGCCTCATGTGGTGATAAATCCTATTGAGACACAATCTTTTTAACACTATGATTTATGTTTCTACTATCATTCAGATTTTCACTGCTGGGAATGGTGATGAATCCCTTTGTGACAATATGCCATATAACACAATGAATTCTGTTTATACTGACACATTGATGTTCACTGTGAAACAGTTTTAACAAAATGCTGGTGTATTGGATGTTATAGGTAGTAGGGAGCCAAGATGCTCACCCTAGCAGGTACTCGGCAGCAGTTAGAGTGCAGCAGCATCGTCAGGAGATCATCCAGGAGCTGCCCACAATGGTGAAGGACCTCCTCATCCAGTTCTACAGGTCCACAAGGTTTAAGCCTACTCGGATTGTCTTCTACAGAGATGGCGTCAGTGAAGGCCAGTTCCAACAGGTTAGTTCAACAAAGATCAACTTAAGTCTGAAATCCATACAGTGAAACAAATGTTCTAAAAGGCTCGAAAACATAGTAATTGGTAATTGCTACCAATGGCGTGTTAAGTACTTTAGTATGATATTTTGACAAATGAACAATTTCTTCCATGGAAGGTTTCCATTCTAATGCATGTGTCATGTTAATCTCTGTTAGATTCTACATGGAAGGGGGAGTGTTAATCACATAGTTATGTCATTACTTCCGTATAATTATCTCATACACTTGATAAATAATGTGTCTGATTATGAGTGTAAATATAATCTCACAAGGTGGTGAGTTCATTATTTGGACAAACTCGTTTTCAAAATTAAGTATGAAACTCAATGGGGTCGTATCATGATCCACCTAATGTTAATGATTTAGGGAGTCAATAGTTTCAAATACCATTGTAAGTCAATACTCGGTCTCAATCAAGACTTCAACCTATAACCCTCTCAATTTTGAACACTTTCTACACATAAGGATAAGAAGGAAACGTAAATAAGGCCATTGAGGTTGGTGCCAAGTTTCTGGTATTCAAGTCTTGGCTTCTAGTCATAATCACTTGTGTTAAACACTGCAGATTTGGTTACGTAAGGGAAGCGTAACTATACCAATTTGATAGTCCCTTCTTGATGAATGTGTTGATTTTGCAGGTGCTAAGCCATGAACTGAGAGCAGTGCGAGAAGCATGCATGAAGCTGGAGGTGGGTTACCAGCCAGGCATCACCTTCATTGTGGTACAGAAACGCCACCACACCAGACTCTTCTGTGCTGACCGAAAGGACCAGACTGGGCGCAGTGGCAACATTCCTGCTGGAACAACTGTGGACGTGGGCATTACTCATCCTACAGAGTTTGACTTCTATCTGTGTAGTCATGCAGGTATCCAGGTATGTCCAGCTGATGGGTAACGATCTTGATGAGAAGGAAACTGTTGAATGTTTTTCAATGCAGATATTAGTATCTACTGACCCAAAAATTTGTTTGAGATAATTAGATTGCAATATGTCCCTTTTGTATGCTCAACCTCTTCTCAGCAACTTCTGAGTGGATCACGAGGAAACGTTGTTGTTTGTCATAAGGGGGTATGTTCAATGCCTCATTACTGCCAGGAAGATGACTGTTTTCTCCACCATGTGTATATTTAAAAATTGACTTAAGTAATGGGCACACTTGTAAATCTAGCATCAAAACCAAAAAATTTCAATCAATTTCTGTAATTAAATATGACATTAACCATTAACACAAAAACTGGACAACATATATAAAATCGGTGACATCGTTCACTGCAATAAAGCCAATCAGGAAGCAGTAGTTCGTTTTGTCAACAGGGGGCACGTGTGGCCCAGTCGTGTAAGGCGCCACGAGTCGCTGTGCAGAGTTATGTCCCTTGGGCACGCCAGAAACCTATGATTGTGGGTTCGAATTCCGGTTCCCCCACGATTATGTTTCTAGGTTTGTCAGCACCATACCCGTACTCGTGGGTTTCACCGAAGTTGTAAACATCTGAGACCTGCATCACTTTGGGCTTTCCTCCCACATTAAGGTGACACGCCGTGATATAACTGGAATACTTGCAGCGTTAAACAACTCACACACACACTCATTTGTGAACGTGGCCTCAATTGTTTGGGTGTAATCGAACAAACATTAAAATAATTGCATGTTTAGCCAATCCAATGCCACAGAATCACTGCAATATTTCTATTGGTAGTTTTGAAATTATTATTGGTCAGTTCCATGTGAACCAAGGTTGTTTTAAAATGGTCATGCACTTGAACATTAATTAAATATGAAAAATGGACGCAGAAGATATTCAAGCATGTTCTGATTTTCAAACAGTAATAAGACTTCAGTTAGAGATGTTTTGTATTCTAATGTCACAGGTTGGAAATAGCATTTTCAGAAGTGTGTTCTGTTTCTTATTTCAATTTTAACATGGGACTTGTTCTTCCTACCTAGGGTACAAGTCGACCGTCCCACTACCATGTATTGTGGGATGACAACCACTTCTCTGCGGATGAACTGCAGATTCTGACGTACCAGCTGTGCCACACCTACGTGCGGTGTACTCGTAGTGTGTCCATCCCTGCACCTGCCTACTATGCACATCTTGTTGCCTTCCGTGCCAGATACCACCTTGTGGAGAAGGAACATGACAGGTACATTATACACATATGTATTTACACTTGCACTACACACAGGTTTCCGTAGTGTCTTGTGGGCAAGTTGAATTACGAGTAAATGGGTTTTGTCTATTCAGGATAGTTGTCATTCTCAGGGTTCAGAAATTTCCGGCAGTATTAGCCATAATAAGCATGCGGTACATAGTAAATTGACAAAAAGGGGCGCTTATTAATACCATAAACAGTGAGTTAAAGTTGTTGCCACATCAAACGGTAGGGAAAGAAATTAGTTCAAATGTTGATGATTCTAAAACTGTTTCGATAATAAATACTTGTCAATTATGTATGCCTTCTACACCGCTGTTTTTAAGCATGATCTTCACTGTACCGTATATCGCTGTGTATAAGGCGAGTTTTTCGTACCTAAAATGAGGGGGCTAAGAAGGGGGGTCGTCTTATACACGGAGTCGAAGATCTCACATTTTTTTCCACTGGCGATGTCAACCGGCGTCCGATAGCCAGCCCAGCATTTGACAATAAAACTTTGCATTTCGTCCTAAATAACTATTCCAATAACTATTTCCATACATAAACATGATTTGTATCTCTTTTCCTTGAATAAAGTTTAATAATTTCTGCAAATAAAGTTGAAATGACCCTCGCCTCGATGCAGATTGTCAAACCACCTGACACGGTAAAACAATCAACATCCGTGAGTAGAGAGCCGGAAGTACCGGTAAGCATTTGCATATTGCACATGTGACCTAACATGTGAATACCGGTGAAGCTGAAATCAATTCCCGCTGTTTTTACAGTTGTATTAACAAGTGTTGGAGACGGTGTGTACAAGTGATTGTGGAATAAACACGCTGAATGTGAAGCAAACATCAGCCTAGTTAGTTACAACATAGTTAATTGGCGATTAAATTACTCACCATTGTCTCTTATATGTTATTACTTCATAAATGAATTTTATTTTATGGGCACCAATTTGGTATCGTACCGTGTAAACACAAAATGGCGACGTGTGCTGGACTTACACACGCGACCTATCATTGTAGAAAAAAACATCAACGCAAGATAAACATATTTTTATTGCATATATAAGGTTTGTGTGCGCACTTGTGATGTCCGTGTGCGAAATACGCTACAGTCGGAAAGCGCACGTTAAATCTTCTATATCAGTCAGACTTGTGATGTGTTTCAATCCAGGTCGCCTTATACGCGGAGTAAAGGATTTTGGGTTGATTTTTAAGGTGTGTACAGGGGGTTCCTCTTATACATGGGATCGCCTTATACACAGCGATATACGGTACACTAAATGTTAGTAAATGTTGATTTTTGCCTTGTCGTTAAGGTTCTTGTTAGTCACAGCTATATTGCATGAAGCCTGTGCAATGATATGTCTGGAATATTGCTCAAAGCAGCATTAAACCACAATTTACATTCCATGTCAGTTGCACACATCATTATCTGATTAATATTTTCCATTTTTGTACAGAAATAGGTCTTGTAGGTGAGGAATGATATTTTCAGAATTGCACATACAGATAGGGCCTGATCCACATGGAATCGCATTCTTATTGCTACAACTACACTTACAAACACTAGGTGACTGTGGTTCTAGCATTAAGATCTCCATGTATTATTAGGGCTCAGTGCTTCCAATCACTTCTTAAAACATTTCCTCCTTATACCAGAAAACTAATATGGACACAAATGTTTTACATTTTTGTAGCTCACCTGACTAAAAGTCACATGAGCTTATGTCATGGCCTGTTTGCCAAGTGTCCGGTGTAAACATCTTCTACTCTAGGCTTATGAAGCTGAAAGTTCACATGCTTCCACACACCAATGATGACACCACAATTTCTTTAAGAGGTTTGAAATTTTTTTTGTCAATATGACATATTAAAAAGACTATTTATGACCATTACTCAGTCATTTGTGTTGAAAATGTTACAAGATTTGGTGTAGTTGGTAGTGAGTCTCAACATATATATGTTCCATTTTGGGGGTGCTGTTTTTATTTTGTTTTGTTTTTTAACTTTGCACTTCTACCATGCAGAAAGCTGAACATTCTCTTGGCCATTACTCAGCCATTGTTTCTCAAAATAGAATAACATTTGGTACAAGTTAGGTAGTAGCGGGACTCAACATGCATGTTACATTTGTTTGCAATATTTTAAATGTTCACCTTTTATTGACCATGCTCTTAAATTCTCTCAAAATGCATATTTACCTATGTACACTACTCTTCAACTGCCAGACTGAGGGAGCTGAAAATTGGCATGCTTGTTTCTCCTTATGATGACATATTTAGTTCAGTTTGTTAAACTTTAGTGTTACTAATATTCAAATATCAGTGGTGAGAGCAACCTTTGTCCAGTGACTGACTTGGGTTTTAAAAGTGTTGACTACATATCCAGGTGAGCTTCAGCATTAGGGCACTATTTTTCTTTTTGTTCAACAAATGTTTTTTTAACACATTGAATTTTTAACTTTATGTACAACAGTTTATCAATCAGAAAAAGGTTTTCCATTAACACTGGAAAATCAGTTGGTTTTTTTGCCAGCTGTAGATTATGGTTGTTAAGAACAGTGTGTAAGTGTCATGATGAAGTCATTTCCTCATGAGGCTAAATATGTGGTGTCAAGTTGACACTTTTAAAGGTATAGACCATGACTTGCAGAAGAAAAACAATTTATACAGTACTTGATTTATTAAAGGAAGACTAGATACTTATAAAAATAGGTGAATGTTGTATGATTTTAGATATGTTCAGAATAGTTAGGGGAGAACTTAATCATTATAAACAGCAACTTGACTTTGTTCAAATCATTTCCACAATCTTAGGATCTAACAAAATAGAAACAAAGGGTTTGCACCACGTTCTTTGACAGAATCACTCATTTTCTAGCAAATATTCATTTCACACAATTACATAGTAGCATGCAACCTCGAGGTATCGCAGTACTTATTATGTCAGCTAAACGCAACAAAATGCACTTACTAACCTTTATGATTATTGGTGTTCTCTATTATCAGATGTCATTTATTTTATTTAACTATGCATATTTTACTGAAAAAAGTTCATTATTTACATTAGTTGTGCCGAGTAAAAGCCTGCTTCGCGCTCAGTTTGACAAGGGGGAGAACTCCATTGTATTGCGGTACAGGGAAAAGTTGTGCATGAAGGTCCGAATTGGACAAAAACCAGGACATAATTTTATCAACCGCTAAGTATGATAATGCCAGACTTCAGTGATTTGTCCAGACAAGTGCAAAGAACAGCACAAGTAAAATTCTGAATGTGCTATCAATAATAGGTATTCAATGCATATTTACTGAAAAGTAAAAAATAATATATTTAAAAAAAATAACAACAAAATATCAGAAATGATATTTTAAGATTTTTGTTTAAAAAGTTGGATGGCAATAATTTGTCCCCCCAAAAAATGTTAACAGTTAACCTGAGGATATAAAACGCACTCCTAGTATGCCAAAAGTATGTATCTATCATTTGGCTGCTCGTGAAGAACGTATTTCTAAGTATGGCATTATGGCCCTTTTGATCTCCTAATAGATACTAGAGCGGGGAAAAAATGTGCAGACTATGTAATTTCCATTACCTTTTTGGTCCCCATGAATATGCAGATGATCTAGTTCAGGTCGAGAAATATTACTTGGGAAGCTACAGGTCATATCGTTGTCCATTGACAAATGGGGGTAAGGCAATATTAAAAAGATGCCAGAAGTAAGTATCGACAAGTTAATAAGCCTTACTAACAGCAGACAGAACATTCTGAGGAAATTGAATTTGTTTATGAAGTGAGCACTTCATGGTTACTGAATTGCATTTATAGACAGCTGCTAAGAGGCTTAAACTACTGGAAATCACAAATGCTGCGATACCACGGGCTCTGAGTATACATGTATTAGTTGACACCTAAACAATCACTTGAAATTCATTTATTTGATATTTTCAACATTTGTGTTTGAGGGTTGCAACATCTTCTTGCATATAAGAATTATTATGGACATTCTTATATTGAATATTTTTCATTCTTTCATAGTCATAAGTTTTCAAATTATTACACTACCTACAAGACATATCATCACATCAATATGATCAACGTTATGGCTCATCTCACCTTGTTGGGTCCGAGGCAGAAATGTTAAGTTGACACAAATAGAAATCCTGTTTCCACAATGAACGAATATAGGACCACTTCCGTGGTGTAGAGTCTAAGGTTCTATCCCCTGGCTACATCACACCAAAAAGTGATAAAAGATGACACATATTGTTTTCCTGCCTGGCATTTTGGATTAATGGGATAAAACAAGAACTGGCTGGCTCAGTGTTGGTACACAGTGTCCAAGGGGAATGACACTATAAAAGAGCCACAAGTGCATGCACATTGCAATATACAGTATTCGACGTATTAAGTGCCCCGCTCTAATAAGCGCCCACGGCGATATTTGCAAATATATTGGTTCGTGAACAATCCCAATCAGCACACCTTCCGATTGATCAATGTCCACAAGACTTATTTAATCGTGTATAATACGCACTCGTGTGTTATATGCCCCCTTAATTATGGGCAATTAAATTCTGGAAAAACATGTCGTATGTAAACTTTTCAGGCTGTCGGCATAAACCAAGAATTTTACAATCTTTCAACTTTTTTTTTCACCAAAATAATATTCTTATAAAAGCCCTCTATTTCTATTTTTGAGAGCGCCCTGGGCGCTTATTACGCCAAATACAGTAAATGAAATAATCTAGAATTCATTGTTATATCACTTTCTTCTCCCCTCCATGTATAGATTTTTGGATGTGTAAACTGAAATACAGGGATATGACTGAAATACTGTTCAAAGCACCTTTCCACCGAATTCACTCATTCCTCCAGGCATAGTGTACATTGATCAATGATGTCACTGTGAATACTACTTGTGCCCTGAATATACTCCACTAAAGTCTTATGTAAATCCTGACACTGCCATAAGTTGAATTTTGGGGTTTCTGATTGAACAACCGCAATACATTTGTTTCTTACAGCGGTGAAGGGAGTAGACACTCGGACAACAGTGAGGACCGAAATCCAGCATCAATGGCTCGTGCTGTGACAGTGCATCCCGATACTTGCAAGGTTATGTACTTTGCTTGAAGATTAAGAAGAGTCACACAAGAGGAGACAACTCTTACCATTCTTTTCTAGGCTGTGAACTATGTCTGGGACTGGTGTTTCTATGTTATTTGTGTAAGATATTTATACGTCAACTCGAGCAGAAATGACTAGGATAGAGAACGCTGGCATAGAAATCTAAGTCATGTGTACATATTGTTACCATGGTTACTTGTATAAATTGTGCCACAGTCCTCATGTCGTGCTCAATGGATGGACTTTATATATAATGAAATGTTGAACTTCCGTGTGATGCACACATATTTAATATTGTGATGATATGATGATTATTATATTTTAAGGCCGGGAATTGTTTTAACAAAGTGTCATGACCATGTTTGTTACAAAGGTTTTATTTCTATAATTGTGTTGTCATATTCAGTTCTGTTCCCTGAACTCTTCTGTTGTCAACATGAAACCAATTTTGGGTTAGCGTGAAATCTGTCTCTCTCTTCATGCGTTATCTCCAATGTAACTTAAAAACTGCTTGTTCACAAAACATAGGTATCAATACTTTAACCATTCATTCATATTTACCACATTCAGTTCCCAGTTAAGATCATTTGTTTCTCAACATCAAGTATTTGCCGCCTCATCCTACATAATACTCGACTGCATATTTATATTAAGTATTAATCAAATATAATATCATAACACCCAGACTGGCTACGACTTGAATTATGTTCCTAGCTTTGTACGTAGAACCATATCACTTCTTTGTACTGGTTATCACCACAGTATTTTTCTATCCGTGACCATAATGTAGCCTTTACGAATGGCATTTCTGCCAACAATGCAAGATTTCATATCAGTGTTTGTCAAAATAGAATACCAGTTAGCCAAGGTTGTGACAGCAGCTGGTATCTCAACAACCACGTTGTTTTTCACGTCACTTACAATTTATGTACTTTTTGTTGAACATATGAACCTTAACCAAGATCACAATTTGGTTTCATCCCACCCAAAAGCCAAACCCAACCATTGCATCCACCGTGCAGTTACCTCCCCTTGCATTTATGTTTCCAGTTTACTTTCAGATTTCATAATGCAGTTCCCTTAACCTTTGTAATGCAGGTGAAGCTTCTTCAACACTCTGTACCTAATCAAAACCTTTTTCTCCACGAAAATCTGTCAGTATGGGGGAAGTAACTGCCACTTAATTATGAGCAATACAGCAAATTTATTGAACAAAAGTGACCCACATTACAAGGGTATTTTTAAGGTCCTTTATTTTAGAATCCAAGCATGACCAAAACAATGTCCTGTTTGAAGTGGACAAGATTTCTCATCGACCAGCCTTTTAACTTGTGTATTCCACTTGATTGTTTGATATGTATGTAGAACTGTTTTGTTTTATTGAAATCCCATAGAACATTTGACAAATATTTCATATACTTATTTGTACCTGTGGTGAATGTTTGTGTGTTTTGACATTTTGGTAAAACAGAACAAAACAAGATCAAGTAATAACATTTATTGACATCCTGACTAGGTCACCACTGCTGGATGCAAAATTAACAAATAGAAGTCAGCTGAGTTTCTTTTTATCGTTATTTTAAAAGATTGGAGTTATCAAGACGAGTGTGTAGTTTCATTATGATCATTTTTTTTCAATCTGTACATAGGAAATGGTGTAAGATCTAATACCTTGATAATCTCCTTTTATCAATGTTGGCAAAAATAGTCTCTAGTCACAAGCCGACAGAGTTACCCCCCTTTCTCTAGGTGATGGAAGTGATTTTGGTGCTGTAGTGTTCACATCTCTGTAGGAGTTTTACCATTTATCAAGCTGTAGACAAACGATGTCTTTGCTAACATTTAGCATTGTTAATGATTGATTATTCTGGTACAATCAGTTGAATTTGCTCAGTTTCTTTTCCTTTTTCAACCAAATTTTGTATAGTACCAATGGTTATGCACCCTAAGGTATGCTAAATTTTGTTTCACAATTCAGGTTGCATTTTTATTTTCATCAACACATATCCATTTAGTCCCTAATGAGTACCATTTGCCTGTGGGTAGGTATGTATTTTCTTTTCCACCTATCTCATGTATATCCTAGATTATCAAAGATGTTACTGAATTCTGTCACCATGCACAATTGTACATTTGCTTTGTAAATTAAAGATGAATTATATTATATTCAGCAGATAAGTGCTACGATTTTCTTGCATGAAATATTTGGTATATGCATATCATAATGATGCTTGGCTAGTATGATTAGTTTTCTGCAATAGCAAGGCTGTGATTTTGAGGCTGGTTATAGAACTCTTCAAGTCATCTTAGTTAAACCAACTGCATATTAGACCCATGCTAAACACAATATTCTGTCAGTCAACTGAGTTGTTTCCAAAGTCAGTTTTCTACTTAAAATGATTCTTAATTGAAATGAGACTAACCATTATACTTAGGTCACTTTGTAAAACTGGTACATCAGAGACTTACATGTCAAATACAACTCTCTACAACCTTGTTTTGAGAATTGTCCTCTTGTCAAAATATTTCACACCAGATCAGGTGTGCTTGTAGCAACTTCATTCATACATAATCAACTTGAAATCGCAATTTTGATTGTATCACTCAAAGCCATACATGATTTTGCACCTTCAAACTAGCTAACAAGTCCCTGTGACATGATTAGTGCAATGACAATTCCAGTAGCCATTCCTCCATGACCATTGTGAGGAACATGACAATTTGGATCTCACCAAAGCAATGCAGGCTTTGTCTGGGATTGTCTTTGATTATTCTTCAACGAACTGATACTAAATGACTGCTTATTGCTATTGGTTTAAATACCCAATGGTTATTATTATAACATATTATTCATCTCAAGTAGTTATGTAAACCTCCTGAATGACTATTCTTTTACAAGTAGACAAAAGAACTGCTTATTACTGCTGTGGGTTTAAAGAACCTGCGACCATTGTTCCATATTGACCTGAAGTAGTAGTGTTCATAAGTTTCCTTAAACTGATGAATTGTTTGATAGGCATTTGTTAGATTGGTAAGTTATGATATGATTTTTGTCAAAATTCCATTGCAAAATGTTGAAGATGTGGGTTATTTAGTCCCCAAATGTGTCTACTTGGTAAGGTTTGAGTTTCCATATTACTAGTATTAGTCACTTCTGATTTATCCGACATTGTGCTCCAAGTTATTCCTTTGGAAAGGGTTGCTGTGTAATGTGTAACCTGTATCTATATATATTTTTTTCAGTTCGTTTTAAGTTCACATCACTTAACATGCTAACTTTTTATGGTTTTGTCAACTTCTTGTCAACACCTGCATATTTTCTAGTCACTCATTTAGTTGGCCTAATACTGCTGGTCACATGACTGAGATATGCATCACATGACTAGTGGACATTGCAAGGGCATCTATGCAATAATCAGTGCCAGATTGAGTCGTCTCTTTTCATTAATGTACTCAAGTTCTTCCAGAATGTCACAATAGTGATATATGGCAAGCGGGGAACAAGAGGTACCATATATCCGATAAAATTTGAGTCATTGTGAACATACATGCGCTCTGTTCATTAAATACATCACTCACCCATGTAGCAATGCACTTAAGTCAATTTCTGCCATTCTGAGATACAAGTACTGTAGGCATTATGATACCTAATGATGTAAGCTGCACTTTTTGTACACAGATCAATTTGTTAATAGTACCTGTTGAAGTTCTAGTGGTACTGATTTAAGATGTTGTTCGGTTGTATATGTTCATTTATGGACTGTTTTGTGTTGGTGTATAGACTATTTGTAAGTTTGATTTATATCTGCATCAGTGAATCAAACATTAAGGAATCCCAGTCTGTCAAAGGGAGGTAATTCAGATGACATAAGAACATCAGGATAATCATGACGGAAGCATTTCTCTCTGACCATTCCTTGATTTGTTTTTGTTGTGTGTTGTCTTGTGCAATATAAACTGGCCAGATATTTGAACATATCAGTCACATGACACCAAACTGACCAATCAAATATGATTACCAAGACAAAAAAACAGCCAATGAAATTGACATGTCCCATGGGCCATTTTGTATAGTGGCATTGCTCCCAGTTAGTCTTACAGTGCCTTTTGCTGTGTATAGCCCAACTTTAAGAAATTATTTAGTGTAATCTGCATCCATCCCATGTTTTAATCCACCTGATACTAATCTATTTGTCATGTCCCAAGGAATCTCTGTACCACCGCTTATGACAAGAGAATGCCTCTGAAATCCACCCCCCCTCTTTTCCCAGGATTGTTTGAAGGTTATGGCTCTGAAACTTATTTGATATTGGAAAGGTTTGTTAAATGTTGATGTACATAGATTAGACTATTTTTTTAAGAAATGATTGATAAATTGCTTTCAAACCCAAATTTCTAGGAGGGTATAATCTGTTGCTATTGTTGTTTAATGTTCAGAAATGAAATCATAGCTGATTTAGATTAATTGTGTACTTTTATTTTGAGGAGACAACCACAAAATGATATATTTTTGTGATTGTAGATTTAGGCAAGAACCATTTCATTTTCATGGCAAACACGAATGGTCATGGTTTCATAGCTGAAAATCTCTGGGGGAAATAAGCATGTGAATAAGATTGAACAAATATGTCGTGTTAAAAAAAATGTTATCCCTTAAGGGTATCTTCCAGATTGCAGTTGACATGTTCATGGTGGCATTTAACATTTAGTCTGTCTGGCTTGCAATGTTTAGAGATATGTAATTCATACAGTACTATGCAAAAATGGCTCAAAAATGACAAGCATAGATCTGACAGCCTCAACTCTTATCAAGATCAAGCTATTTGACTGAGTGTGTTTTTCACGAGTAATTTGGTAATTATGAAGGTGAACAATTTCAAGCAATATTGCCAGAACATGCTTGCATGTAATCTTAATATTGATAAAAATGGGTAATTGCACATATCTCCAGATCATTTGTACATATTTATATACAAGGAAATTAATTCTATGGGTGTGACTTGTGCTGTTGAGATCAGCCCCATATCTTATCTCATATCAGATCATGTAGACTGCGTGGCAGCTGATGGCCCCCTCTGATGTCAAGTACAATGAATGGTATGCAATCACAGCTGATGTTAAGATAACAGGAGTTCAAGGTGTCATTTAATCTGGTTTAATCCTTTTTGGGAGCTGTACTTGCCAATCTTGTGCCCCACTTAACACATTTCCTCATTTGAAGTTGCTGAGAAGTTAATCTGCTTTTAAAGGAAGTATTTTAATACCCATTTTTTAGTCAAAATTTTACTCCTAAAAAAAGGACAAATTCCATATGACCAAAAACATTGTGGCCAAGTTAGCCTTTGTAAAACTTGAATATATTTATATATACATAATACATATGAAAGTATTGTTTGAATGCCCTTCTGTGTCTTGTCCAAGTATGTATAAACTATACTTAAAGCATTGAATGTAAACATTGTACAGAAACATCACTAAAGTCAAGTTGCACACTTTTGTGAATAACTAGCCTTATAATCTAGACCTGTTCAGAGATTTCTTCACCTTTTCATGCCTATGTAGGCATCACCATGTATAATTTTGTGATGCCTTACTTCTAAAATATCAAAATGTGAAGTGAACCAGTCATTTCATATGGCTTGCCTTTGTTTTTCAGTTTTGAGCAAGTTTAAGATTATAAGAGCTTGAAGCAAATGAATGACATCTGGACTTAGCAATATGTTTGTGTCGGGAGAAGGTTGTGTAGTGAAAGCCAGTTGTTATTCTCACATTGTTTGGAAGATTTTGATTGGTTGTGAGGACAGCTACGCATATCATTAGGGATGTCTGGGTTTACAATAGGTGCATGGTGAAATACGGTCAACAGTTCTCCCCTCTGCTGATCATTTTACAAAATCTCTCTGCTGTTCTAATGTGTTATTGTATATGTAGTTAATATAAGTGCAAAAGCTCAACCGTTTCATTCTTTGATTATTTTAGTACAGTCCTGTTATCAAAGGCATTTCATATGTAAATGTACAATAAACTATGTTTAAGATGTATTTTGGGAATTCCAAAAGGGAGAATATTGCTAACAATTTTGCATTTTTAATTAATAATCTTTATCACCAAGCTCTGGAATTTTCACCTGTGCCTGTTGAATGCCCCCTGAAAGGTCTGCTCACATTCCAAGTAGACGTAGGGCCTATTACAACAATCAAGCTTTTTCTATCTTTATACCAGCGTAACATTGCGCTTTTGAAAATTAAGCAAACCGAGGGTCCCAATTTGTTCCGTTTATACAGATCTCCTTTGTATGTTTTTATGTAGCTTTGATATTTTATCAAGTGCTTCACAAGATGGTTTTGACTGTTTTATGTTAGTCTTTAATACAGTCCAGTCTTGGTGCTGCCTCTCATTGCTGACAACAGTGCCATGTGACATGCTTGTTGCCATGGCAAAAAAAATATTTAATTGCTTAATGGCACTGTCACGTTATCCATTGCGGTATCTTGTGACTGTTGCTATGACGATAATGTAGATTTGTGTGCTTCTTACTCCACCCGAAGCTTTTATTCATTGTCAATAAATGTTTATAAACTATGATCTTGTTTGTCCTTGTCATGTTAAGGATTCTGGTTGGACTAGGTGCATTCTATGCTCACCCTCATTTTAGGTTTGTTGCAAAATGTGACATGACTGCAGCCTGAAAATTATCAGTTTCGGCCGTACAATCCAACAATTGATCAAGCAACAGTCTACCTGTCAATGACAAGCATGAGGACCAGTTAACCTGATAAACTGTTCAAGGCAGCACTGATCCTTGACCAAAGCACAACAACTTCATGTTCTCAGTTGAATCCCACTGGCCTCCAACCTTAAGGAAGTTACGCTTCTAGTCTGATGCATTCAGGGTCAGTTGGCTTCATTAACTTCTCAGCAATGAAATAGTGAAGTAGCATGACATCACTGCCAGATTCCAAAATGGATTTCACCCAATGCTTGACGAGATGGTCTGTCGCTTTTTTTTCTTTTCAATATCATGACAGGGGGACACCAGAAAATGGCCTTGTACCTGGGTCTTCGGAGTGACATGCCAACGCTTTAACCACTAGGCTACCCCACTGCCCCTGACCAGATGGGTTGGTTTTTTTTATAATACTTGGGTCTACTGCCATTCCTCCAGCTATCTGGCTAAGAAGTCATGTTTACATCCTGTATATTGATCTTGACCCTCAATTTCAGCCTATTAGATGCTAGATCATTTCCATGTGAAAACATTGGTGCTTATACCGCCACATTAAGCATAACAACTTTTTAGTAATTCCAGTGATAGTGACCTTTAATGAAAATTCACCCAAAGTATATTATGTATGAAGCTCCAAACAAACATAAGTAAAGAAACAAGGACCCTGGAGTCTTAATTGTTGAAGTGGTTCATAAGACAAGGGTCAATATTCAAAGAACCTTGTTTTGATAGCTATATTTCTTTGAAGAAATATAGCTAACTGTAAGAACATGGTGAGCTGCCCTACATGCTGCACATTAAAGGCGTTTGCATTCAGTTTATGCCAAGGTTAATGAATCACCTGTTAAAGAATCAACACGCCAATCTAGTAAGCAGGTTGCCTTTTGGTAAACCCATCAGCCAATGTAATTCGGTGCAGGTCCTGGTATCTTTATCATGCCCATTGATAATGCAGCTTGTAAAATAAGATTTTGGGATACCATAAATGCTGACATCCTCCATTAACATGATTAAGACAACACCATAATGGTCACAAGAATGATTTATTTGTACACATAAATTAAGTCCCCATAATCGTCTCAAGAGTGCATGATACAGTAAAGTTTTATGGAACCATTGTTGAAAATGTTGACAACTGTTGACAAAATGGCTTGTGTTGAATCTGTTGTAAAAGTCTACAAAGAAAATTAAATCTGACAAAATGTCATCTCTCCACATCCATTGTTTCCGCTTGAGGTGACTCTGAAAGAAAAAATAGGACACAACTCAGACAGATAAACCAAAAAAGTGAATAAACCTCTTCTTCCTTGTAGTAAGGAACTCCCTCTACATCAAATGTACCACTGCAGGTTTTGCCTCTTAGTTACATCCTTATCAGAATTAAGATAACACAGAATCATTGAGTGAATGACGGTTGAACACCTGCTTTGAACAGTACTTCAGTTAATGTGGAAGGGAAGCACAAAGTTATGCTGGTCTAAGACATAAACCACTTTGGTGAGCATGGGTATGATGCCAACAAACCAAGAATCTGGGATTTGAACCAACGATCATGGGATTCTGGCATGCTACTCTGTACAGCAAATTGAGGCTCCTAAGAGAACTGGGCCACCTGTGTTACTCTCGAGCCATTGAACACCATCCCAGATTTGCAAAACAGTACAACTGATTGGAATTTTAGTTTGGGTTTGGGGTTTAACGTCGCGTCCAAGGCTACTTCACTTACATAGTGACCTGCAGTATAGTACAGTACAGTACAGTATACTGACTCCTAGCCGACCAGTCTTGTTTTTGCCCCTTAATGCCGAGCACCAGGCTGGGTAACAATAAGTACCATCTTTTAATGTCTTTTGGTATGACACGGCCGGGGATCGAACACCCGACCTTCCGCTCTCTGGACAGACACTCTACCACTAGACCACGGAGGTGGTCCAAAGATACTTCTAAAAGAGATGGCAGTCACTTCCTGAGTGAAGCTGTGGAAGTAAATGGGTCCAGGGTATTTATCATAATGGAAAGGCGATCAAATGCACTGGATGATCAAGGAAAATAACTGCTTCCCCAAACCGCAAAACAATGCCCTGAAACATCAGAAAGACTATTGTTTCAGACAAGGCACAATGTGCAATGTTTGTCTGGAGTGTAACTACCTACATTGTTCATCAATCTATCTCCTTCAGTACATGTGGCCATTGTCACTTGCCTTAGGTCATTGATCCTTTAGTACATCTGGCAGAGGAGATTTGGGATGTTTGCTCTCAAAATGTTGCTTATACGTCTTAGGGTCTGGCATCTGGGACTAGAAATAAAAGAAGACATCTCAATCAGTTTGTTTCCTCATTGCAGAGCTCTACATGAAGGGGTGGGTTTGTGGATGGAGGTTAAGTCACTGATAAACTATGGCAACATCATCAGGTCTGGACCAGGATGATGGAAGTCAACAAACTTGTTCAACACTGCCTTGAACTATTTTTCGATTATACAATGTATCACAGCATGTCAGTTTGACATGGGAGGAAAACCTCAAAGTGAGCAGTAGAAATTGGCACTAGTCCTGTAGTCCTTGCCAAACTGCCAAATAGTTAAGGTATCATAAGGACTACCGGTAGTAGAAATTTGCCATTTTTAAGGGTTTTGCTTTATGTTATCATTATACAAATGTTATAAGGATTAGTGGACTAAAACTGTTAGTTTCTACCGTTGTACATCTTACATATCCACGAGCACTGGTATGGTGCTGATAAACTTAGAAACATGATCGGGGCAAACAAGGATTTGAATCCATGATGTAAAGGCTTCCGGCATGACTAAGTGATGCAACTTGGCATTGCAACGCCTTAGACAACAAGGTCACCAATGAATCCCATAACAGTCGTATACTCTGGTCTGAGCTGAAAGCAACAGTGCCACATTTCAGATGGTATGTGTCAATGCATTGCAAATTTACACCTGACCATATCATACACATTACGTCAAGTCGTCAACCCATGTAGCGATCCTGGTATTCATTCTGTACCAATTTTCCTCAGTAATATTCACAAAGTTTTGCAATAACCCAGCCTTGTAACTACTTAGGGTAGTTCCCCGTGAAGATAGGTCCTCAGCAACCCATGCTTGCCATAAGAGGCAACGAACAGGAGCGGATGTTCAGGCTCCCTGACTTGGTTGATGCATGTCATTGTATCTCAATTGCATAGATCGATGCTCATGTCAATCACTGAACTGTCTGATCCAGATTCCATGGTGTATTCCATTGTGTCACTCACACAGACCCTCCCTTCTGTGGTGTTACACATAAACAGACCTTCCATTCTATGGTGTATTCCATTGTGTCACTCACACAGACCCTCCCTTCTGTGGTGTTACACATAAACAGACCTTCCATTCTATGGTGTATTCCATTGTGTCACTCACACAGACCCTCCCTTCTGTGGTGTTACACATAAACAGACCTTCCATTCCATGGTGTATTCCATTGTGTCACTTACACAGACCCTCCCTTCTGCATGTTCTGTGGTGCTAATTATAAACAGACCCTCCATTCTGTGGTGTTACTCATAAACAGACCCTCCATTCTGTGGTGTTACATATAAACAGACCTTCCATCTTTGTTGTTGCTCATTAACAGACCCTCCCTTCTGTGGTGTTACTCATAAACAGATCCTCCATTCTGTGGTGTTACTCATAAACAGATCCTCCATTCTGTGGTGTTACTCATAAACAGACCTTTCATCTATGTTGTTTTTCATTAATAGACCCTCCCTTCTGTGGTGTTACATATAAACAGACCTTTCATCTATGTTGTTTTTCATTAATAGACCCTCCCTTCTGTGGTGTTACATATAAACAGACCTTCCATCTTTGTTGTTGCTCATTAACAGACCCTCCCTTCTGTGGTGTTACTCATAAACAGATCCTCCATTCTGTGGTGTTACTCATAAACAGATCCTCCATTCTGTGGTGTTACTCATAAACAGACCTTCCATCTTTGTTGTTGCTCATTAACAGACCCTCCCTTCTGTGGTGTTACACATAAACAGACCTTTCATCTATGTTGTTTTTCATTAATAGACCCTCCCTTCTGTGGTGTTACATATAAACAGACCTTCCATCTTTGTTGTTGCTCATTAACAGACCCTCCCTTCTGTGGTGTTACTCATAAACAGATCCTCCATTCTGTGGTGTTTCTCATAAACAGATCCTCCATTCTGTGGTGTTACACATAAACAGACCTTTCATCTATGTTGTTGTTCATTAATAGACCCTCCCTTCTGTGGTGTTACATATAAACAGACCTTCCATCTTTGTTGTTGCTCATTAACAGACCTCCCTTCTGTGGTGTTACTCATAAACAGATCCTCCCTTCTGTGGTGTGACTCATAAACACATCCTCCATTCTGTGGTGTTTCTCATAAACAGACCCGCCATTCTGTGGTGTTACACATAAACAGACCTTTCATCTATGTTGTGGTTCATTAATAGACCCTCCCTTCTGTGGTGTTACTCATAAACAGACCCTCCATTCTGTGGTGTTACTCATTAACAGACCCTCCATTCTGTGGTGTTGCTTAAACAGACCCTCCATCTATGTTGTTGCTAATTAACAGACCCTCCCTTCTGTGGTGTTACTCATAAACATATCCTCCCTTCTGTGGTGTGACTCATAAACAGATCCTCCATTCTGTGGTGTTACATATAAACAGACCTTCCATCTTTGTTGTTGCTAATTAACAGACCCTCCCTTCTGTGGTGTTACTCATAAACATATCCTCCCTTCTGTGGTGTTACTCATAAACAGACCCTCCATTCTGTGGTGTTACACATAAACATATCCTCCATTCTGTGGTGTTACTCA